ATGCATTCTTGATTGAAACAATTATCCATCGAGTGAACATTTTGCATGAAATAATAAATGTCTTTAGAAACATCTGATGGAAATATTGGAGACATTCACCTGAGGTAAATCCTCCTCCTATCTGCAAAATGAAATACAGATACAACACTTCAAACTTCCCCATCTTTGTAGAGATCTTCAAAGATTACTGTCCTGAAAAACAAGATTAAAATATGGTTAATTTAATAAATATTGTTCACATAGTAACAGAGTCTTACAGTTTGGCACAAATGCAGCTGATACTTACTCTACGGCTCGTCAAATCTCAGTCACTCATGCTGAAAGGTCTGGCTCTTTATAAGGCAGCATTATTGTTGTCAGTGCTGGTTGTTGGGAAACACAAAAGCATATTTCATAAATGTGATTAATCTTACACTTCTCAAGTTTACAGAGCAAAGCTGGAGCACTCTTGATGTCCCACAATTTACAAAGTGTCTCTTTAGCAAGTCCCCAACCTCCTTTGGCAATCAATCTGCTGATTATATAAATCAGTATAACATCTCTTGACCAAATATGACTGTACTTAAAAGTATGCAAAAGCAAATGGGCTGAATCACAATTCAATCTTTTGTGATTCAGATAAATCATTGACACACTTGTATTGCTGAAAAGTTAAATATGTCAAGTGTCTTCAAACCATTGTGTTGTCTTCGGATCAAAATAACTTGCCACTGTGTTTTAAAGTGGAAAATAACCCTAAATATTAAAACTTTTACCAAAATGGACCCGAACATTATAAAAGGTAATTTTTTAACCATTATTTATATTTCCTTATGTGCTGTACTGAACTGCTGTCAAAGTCAGGTCAAGTTGCATTAATGATGGACACAAACTGTGAGCCGTGTTGGCTTTTCACCAACATGTCAAATGAATCAAAACAAACTTCTGACTTTCAAAATAAATCTTTAAAAGTTGCAGGGCTGTGGACCCAGGACCCCAGCGAGTCACACTATAATGGACTGTGGTGTATTCATCTAACCTTGCCTGCAAGCTGAATTCTCGCGGTATTTGTGAGTTCACAAACACTCGAGAATATATCTTGTCCCGCTCCCGCCAACCCTTTTCGAGTAGAACATCTAGGTGTTCAAGCCAATCACGCGCCAGTCTGGGGGTTTAGGGCGGGATATCCGGGTTTGACGAAAGCAAGAAGTGCCGGGCCGAAGCAAAACAAACATGGCTACGCAGGAGGACGGACGCGTAGCTGAGGCTATCAAGTCAGTTTTAGCAGAATCTCCAATTTCTTTTTTGAAAGATGAACAGCGAGAGGTGCTTTGTGCATTTCTGGACGGCAAAGATGTTTGTGCATTTTTACCTACGGGTTTTGGTAGGCGAGCACACAGCGTCACTTCGCCCAATCTGCTTGAAGTATTCTGCTGCTTATCCCTCCTTTCCCCGAAAGGATTCTCCTGCAGAAGTCCCAGATTGATATTGTGGAGAACGCATTAGAGTTCTACACAATCCAGGTTAGTATTTATCATCAATGTGGAGCAATATTTTCAAACATATTTTTACAAGAACAACTTTGTGTAGGAAAGAGCAGCATGTGCTGCAGGATGGGGGATTCTCACTATTGTGACGTTATGAGCAAAACAGCAGTGCAGAGAAAGCTTCCTCAGAGTTTTAATCATGTATATTTCTTGTGTAGTCCATTATTATAGAGCAGGCATGTCAAAGTCAAATACATCAGAGGGCAAAAAAAACAAATTTGCTGTGAGCCGAGGGCCGGACTGGTTTAATGTCTATTTACTCATTGCCTGCCAGCCTATTTCAGAACAGGTACTCCCATATTGCCAGCAGTTTCTGATGATTTTTATAGATTTTTCAAGACCCACAGAATATTGTGTACTATGACTATCTGAAATCCGAAACCAGATTCTGAAAGAATAGACTGTCTACTTTCATCAGCAAAAATAATTTTGTTTCTAGCTTGTAATCCCCAGTTGAGTAGAGGGAAGTTTTACTGAAATCACCAAAAAGCTGAGAAAAAAGAGGCACAACAAGTGCATCTAGCTGTTTTCAAACCATTCAGAGAGCGCTGCTGCCACCTGCTGGCTCGATTCAATATGCTCTCAAGCTTATCCCCAAACATATTAGATAAAAGACATCTGGGAACATGAAAATAGCGGAAAACGCAATTGACGTAATAGTGCGTCAATGGCAGGCAACGGGCCTTGACTTTGACACGTGTTATAGAGGCTGTCATTTGCGTTGTCAGTACTGATGCACACCACCTGCTGGGGTTTGCATCAGCAATTTGTGTCACAGTTAGAGAGGGCTTTCACAAAGGTTAAATTTTGTGTATCATGATATTTTTTTCTATGAATCCACACTTTTGAGCCAAAGACTCGCCTCATTCAAGTCCCACTTTAATCGGCTCCTGCTGATTTTCTCCTGCAGCGAAGCATCAGAGAGGTAGGACTGTAGGTACATACTGTGTAATTTGGCCCCCTTGAACCTTTCAACATGTCGCCACATTTCAGGCTTCAAACATAAAGATATAAAATTTTAATTTTTTGTCATGAATCAACAACAAGTGGGACACAATCGTGAAGTGGAACAAAATTTATTGGATAATTTTAACTTTTTTAACAAATAAAAAACTGAAAAGTGGGGCATGCAATATTATTCGGCCCCTTTACTTTCAGTGCAGCAAACTCAGTCCAGAAGTTCAGTGAGGATCTTTGAATGATCCAATGTTGTCCTAAATGACTGATGATGATAAATAGAATGCACCTGTGTGTAATCAAGTCTCCGTATAAATGCACCTGCTCTTTGATAGTCTCAGGGTTCTGTTTAAAGCGCAGAGAGAACCATGAAGACAAAGGAACACACCAGGCAGGTCCGAGATACTGTTGTGGAGAAGTTTAAAGCCAGATTTGGATACAAAAAGATCTCCCAAGCATCTCAAGGAGCACTGTGCAAGCAATTATATTGAAATGGAAGGAGTATCAGACCACTGCAAATCTACCAAGACCCGGCCGTCCCTCCAAACTTTCATCTCAAACAAGGAGAAGACTGATCAGAGATGCAGCCAAGAGGCCCATGATCACTCTGGATGAACTGCAGATAACTACAGCTGAGGTGGGGATGGTGTGTTCAGGGTGATGAGCTGTGTTGCTTTTACGCCAAACATATCGTTTGGCATTGTGGCCAAAAAGTTCGATTTTGGTTTAATCTGACCAGAGCACCTTCTTCCACATGTTTGGTGTGTCTCCCAGGTGGCTTGTGGCAAACTTCAAACGAGAATTTTTATGGATATCTTTTAGAAATGGCTTTCTTCTTGCCACTCTTCCATGAAGGCCAGATTTGTGCAGTGTACGACTGATTGTTGTCCTATGGACAGACTCTCCCACCTCAGCTGTAGTTATCTGCAGTTCATCCAGAGTGCTCATGGGCCTCTTGGCTGCATCTCTGATCAGTCTTCTCCTTGTTTGAGATGAAAGTTTGGAGGGACGGCCGGGTCTTGGTAGATTTGCAGTGGTCTGATACTCCTTCCATTTCAATATAATTGCTTGCACAGTGCTCCTTGAGATGTTTAACGCTTGGGAAATCTTTTTGTATCCAAATCCGGCTTTAAACTTCTCCACAACAGTATCTCGGACCTGCCTGGTGTGTTCCTTTGTCTTCATGGTTCTCTCTGCGCTTTAAACAGAACCCTGAGACTATCAAAGAGCAGGTGCATTTATACGGAGACTTGATTACACACAGGTGCATTCTATTTATCATCATCAGTCATTTAGGACAACATTGGATCATTCAAAGATCCTCACTGAACTTCTGGACTGAGTTTGCTGCACTGAAAGTAAAGGGGCTGAATAATATTGCACGCTGCACTTTTCAGTTTTTTATTTGTTAAAAAGGTTTAAATTATCCAATAAATTTTGTTCCACTTCACGATTGTGTCCCACTTGTTGTTGATTCATGACAAAAAATTTAAATTTTATATCTTTATGTTGAAAGGTTCAAGGGGGCCGAATACTTTCGCAAGGCACTGTACTGTGCATGACAGGGAGGCCGAGAGCTAGCCAACATGCTATACTTCTGATTCTTTTTCAGGCCTCTATGGTATGAGCTGCTGCAATAGCTACTTGAATGAACGGCATATTTGATGAGTATGATCTGGATCAAGGACATCAGGTACACACCAGGAGAAAACACTGGTGTAGTTGTGTATGCATGGTTGTTTTTGTACATTTCCATTGATATTTGCAAATTCAATAAAAAAAAGGTGATTAACACATGGTTCCCTGTCTCTCATATTCCACTCGTGGTTGCTTCTCCACATAATTACTCACATTTTAGCTTTAATAAATCTTTGCATAAAAATGCATAAAAAAGCTAAATTTTTAAACAATTCTGGCATTTTTCAATATACAGTTACACATATAATGTAGTTACTATCAAAGACAAGTTTGTTTTTCAGTTATAATAGTTGAAAATGCAAATGATATGCTTTTTATATAGGGTTTCCTGAAGGCTGGTCATTTTGTTGACATGTATCCTGAATATGAAGACTATGCGGTTTAGTGCCTTTGATATAATACCAACAATTTTACTAGTGGTGAGAAGAATGTTATTAAATCCTTTGCTGTAAGATGTATACTGGCGTGAATTAAATTCAATGTTTAATGTAACTCATTTCAAATAATGTACAATACAATGTGTTGAAAAAAAACTCTAAACAAGAGTCTATACAGCAGTCCACAGTATTATTAGCTTTAAACCAATGAAAGAAAAAAATGTCCAAGAAATCAAGCGTTCACAAGCGTTTATTTTGGAGCAGGAACAAGTCATACAGTTGCACATGCCTTAACCATCAATTATTCTTTTTTTTTTTTATTTAAAACAAGAAAAAGAGAAAAGTACAATTTCTGAAGAATGATGCATAAATCATCCAATGGCAGGTTGTGGGGCCATAGCAGTAACATAATGGACAAATTCACAAAACCAGTGGAATATATTCAATTATCTCCCCCTGTAACGACAAGAACAATGGTTTAAGTCCCATACATCAGAAATGCAGCATGCACAGTATGTGTCTATCACTCACATGTGATTGGTCCAATGGTGAGGGGCTGGATTGTAACGCCTTCAGAAACTGAGCGCCGAGCCCTACCCGGGCAAACCTGTTCAAAGAAAGACACACAAATTTTACACAAAAGTTTAGAAGTCAATGACAAACACATGAGGAGAAATATAATGTCAAAGAGAGGACATCCTGCAAAGCAATAAACTGACCTGTTTTGTGTTTTATGTAATGTGGGCCAATGATTTTTTTACCCCAGTAGACGATAAATATATTCTATTGTATTCTAAACACAGACATAAAGGGTCTGTGTTTAGAAGATAAAAAATCGGAAAAATAGGTTGACGAAAAACCGAAAAACAAGGAACCATTTCATATCATCAAACACAATCTAAACTCCTAAAACATACTGGTTTCATAAATTTTTACATGCATGTATTTTGACCTCTGTCACATTAATAGAACAGCTTTTTCAGACTAAAAAATGAGGTGAGGAAAACCCCCACACCCATCAGCTCTCAGTCCCAAGGATGCAACAGATACAATATTTTCTTATATATGAGAAGTGCATGTTTTTTTACTTTTACATGACTCTTAGAATAGTTTCATATTGGGAAAAACAAAACATACTATTCACAATGAAAACTATTTTTAATCTGCTTGGATATTATGATAATAAACCGTTTATACTGTATGTCATATGTGTATATTTCCCAATGGAGATGTCACTCCACTCCACATCCACAAGAGCGTGTATGCATAATGCTGCATTGATGGAGGCACTCACCGGGACACAGGGGCCAGGGCTGCACAGCTTCAGGTGGCAGTGGAGGTAGATGCTTCTGTACTGACCCCCAGGTACAAAGAACAGGGCAGAGAAGCGAGCACGAAGAGAAGTGCCACTTTCCACCACCAACACCTGCTGAGGGTTAGAGGAACACCTGCAGGAGAAAATCACAGAGCACGGTTAAAAAATTGTATACAAAGAGAAAAATAACAACACAGATTTTGCCTGTTTCTTGAGCTGTGTCGACAACACTAAGTTCACTATACAGCAAAAAAAAAATCATCAAAAACCATTTCACTTGTATATGGAGATGGAATGAACTGGAGATCGGGTCTTGGCTCATTTTTTTTAGTCAGTGTGGTATGTGGTAGATTGTAAGCGTATCATTTTCTTTTACAGTCAGACTAGCTCAATATTATAACTGTCTGTTTGTTTACAATAAGCCTTGTTCACTGTAGTGACCTATTATACATCATCACAGAACCAGACGTACTTGTTTTGGATGAGAGGATGTCTTGTTGGGTCATTTGGGTCGGAGGAGAATGTGCCGTAGCAGTTTTCCAGAACCGTCGCAAAATTGAGATCGTTCTCCTCCACAATGGCTCCAACGTACAGCGGCTGGCCCAAAGGCAGACTGACACTACCGGATGGATATGTGTTGGAAAAATTTGAGTCCCGGTAAAGAGACATGAATGCTCTTGGGGCCCGACCTGATCCGACAATACCCCCAGATGGTCTAAAAAAGGGAATATACATAGTTACATTTATGGGTCAGGGTATCAAAAATGTGTTAAACTTACAGTAAAGGACTGAGAGCAGCATCGAGTCTGGTGTCTACCTCCAGAGGATACACACAGGAGAAGGGGAGACTTGCGGGGACATGGAAGGAATCATTGTGAGCATAGAGGAATAAGCTGTTGGTGTAGATGACGTGTGTGCTGTTGGTCTAAAAATAAAACAATCAATGAACATATGCATCTCTGACAGAAGAGCTTAACCCTTAGTGAAAAGTCTTTACCCTCCTGGTGTTTCCACAGACTCCTACTTGTGGCACGACCTCATACCACACTATGTCGTTCTGAACTCTGGTGCGGACACAGTTGCGGTCCACCAGGTGACCAGAGAGGGGGTCCAGACCAGCCACAGACACTGTTGCTCTGTTCAGACTGACTTGTATTTGTTCTTGTCCACAGATAAACTGGTTGATTTGTATTTCTGGTTCAGGCGCTAGAAGGCAAAGAATTGGTTTCTGAATTGGGACTAAAGGCACAAACTAAAACCTGTTGCAGACTTACTTTCACAGACCACACCAGCGTCTTCATTGTGACCACAGTCATGAGCACCCACACCTCTGTGACGACACTGAGAGAGTTTATGCTCTGATCCTGTACACGCCACATCATCCATCCAAATGGGACCAGTTCCTTGTCCAAAGTGAGCATGCATAGGAGCAGAGAGCACCCTACCACACCCCAGCTGCCTACAGACCACCTGGGCATCCATCAGGTCCCAGTGATCATCACACACGGTGCCCCACTGCCCCCGCTGGAATATCTCCACCCGTCCAGAGCAAGAGCTGTTTCCCCCATTGGCCAAACGCACCTGCCCCTCACCCCCAGTACTAATACCATCAGTGGTTATTGGAAAAGTATCAGTAGTAGTAGGATAAGTATCAGTAGTCGTTGGAAAAATATCAGTAGTAGTTGGGTAAGCATCAGTAGAAGTTGGATATGCAGTAGTAGTAACCGGGTCGAAGGTGGTTCTTTCTGCAGTAGTTTCTGGTGCAGTTGTGCTGGAACTATTTGTAACTTCTGTTGAAAACCGTAAACAAGTAAAGACAAGTCAGTTTTGTTTGCATTTGTTAGAGTTAAAGTTGAAAAAGAGAAACTGTACCTGCACAATAAGCCAAGTAACACCCGTTTGGTCTCACAAGTTTGTAGACATAGTAATCTCCATAGCAACGCTTGACGTGAATGTTGGAACTTATAAAGTAGCAGCATGAGATCCATGAACCACAAACATCTCGTCTCTCGATGTACTTGGACTGTGTGGGATTGGGTTCTGTGATGAACATGGGTGCATGGGTACCACACATATTCACCGGCACACAAGACTTTGGTAATTGAGCGTCAGAACTATTCAAAAACAATCGATACCAGCCCTGCCAATTTAAATACTGGTCACATTTGGGTTGTCCTGTCTCTCTGTTATCTGTTGCACGCCAGGGGTCATCCAGAGCAGTGTAATGCTCGCAGGGGTCAGCACAGCGGGCCGTCCCATTGTTGGTAATGCAGTCCATGCCGTGTGGACATGTAGTGTTACCACATATAAACTGCACAGCGTTCACTAATTCCGCTGCTCTAGCACTCCGCTGTGTGCGCAGAGCAGGATTTACAGAACATTCAAAGGAGCCCTGTGTGTTTCTGCAGATCTGAGATGCAGCACAGGGTGACGGCTTGAGAGAGCACTCGTCTACATCCACACAGCCCTCTTTAGGGGACCATTTGTAACCTGCGCTACAGCAAGAGGAGTCACCCCCACATTCTTTCACTTCGTAACAGTTGACGCCGTCGCCAACAAATCCATCTTTGCACTGGCAGGAGACGGTGGTGGTGGTGGGTAACGTTTCTCTTCTCTCCTCACGCCTCAGGCAGGTGGCTTCAGGATGACACGCCTCACAGCTGGTCACAGGGACACCTGCGGGAAATCAACTCTGTTGAAGCGACAGAAAAGCTTAACATAATAGTGGTATAAAAGTGGTATATTGATTGAGTCTACAACTCACGATATTTACAAATTTACAATGGTATACGGTATCATTTTAAGTCAAGTTTTTTGTATCATGTATCATTAGACTTGATCATTTTCAATTGTTTTCAAATAATAATAAATTACCTACATATTCTTTCATTTTTGGTTGTTTTAAAGTTAAATATCTCCAACATAATAGAACATGAATAATGATCCAAAAATTGCGATCTTGACAAATACAATACAAATAAAAGAAATAATTACCCAATACCGAAAATGTTACAGAATGTTTAGGATGTCCAAATATAGACGGAAGAAGTCATAATGAACACATGATGAAAATATTAGTAGTAATATTTACCTGAAGCAAACCCTGTTCCAATCTGTAAAATCAAACACAAAAACAACACTCCAAACTTCCCCATCGTTCTGAAGTAATTCAACGATAACTTTACTGAAAACAAGAAGAAAATATAATTAATAAAGTAATAGAGTTTTACAAATCCTGAAGTTGTCACGAATGCAGCTGACACTTACTTTACGGCTTCTCTGACCTCTGTCTGTCACACTGAAGGATCTGGATATTTATAAGGCAGCGTTATTGTTATCAGGGCTGGTCGTTGGGAAACACAAAAGCATATATCATTAAAGTGATCAATCTGAAACTACTCAACGTCAAGTAACATCTAAGGAGCCGTATAAATGTCGAAAAACCCAAGTATTGATTTTCTGTTTTGAGGAAATAGCAATGAATCACGTGTCCATTAAAGTGGACGCTGTGCATCACTGGCTACATTTTGAATACAGTGCATAGTGTTCCTCAAACTTTGTTGTTTCAGGAAATACTTCATTTTCAGTACAGTTTTGGCTACAAATAAACTACATTATTTGATATATATTATATCTTGTGAATATTTGGCAATCATGAGAATAATTATCCTTTTCCATGTGTTTTGTAGTGGTCAGGGCCAGAGCAGACTAGAAAAGCCTAGAGGACAGTCCAGGAACAACCATCTGACTCAAGTGAGGGTGATGTTTTTGGGATGTGATGAAGAATTTTTCTAGACAAAAGACAATTAGTAAATGGTAACAGCTGTGAAAGAGAAGTTGAAGATGTAGAAGGAGAAGATGCTGAGTAGAATATAAGTTTGAGAGACAATTTACGCTTTACTTTTTAGGAGAGTGGTAGTTGAAGATTGAGAGAGGAGCCCAAATAGATATCTTCCTTCATCAAATTCTGAATGAGCTGATTGATGATATAATGGTCAACTCAGACCCCCATGCGATGCAAAATGGAAAATAACTACTACTACTATTGCACTGGGTGAACTGAAGAAGTTTCTAGGGATCATTTTGGTCATGTCATACTCAAATACCAGGATGTACAAGCCTTTGCAGATTTGAAAGTCTGGTCTTAGTTCTATGCTGATTAGTACCAGCCAAGTTCATTATAGTAGTTCAGGCATTTAGTCAGTACAACAAATGTGGTTTTTTTTGGTTAATGTTTCAGACAACACATTTTACACTTTTGGAATGTGTTAAATTGTGGCTCGGGCATCTGTTCCGGACGCCTCCTGGGCGCCTCCCTGGGGAGGTGTTCCGGGTACGTCCCACCGGAAGGAGGCCCCGGGGAAGACCCAGGACACGCTGGAGGGACTATGTCTCTCAGCTGGCCTGGGAACGCCTTGGGGTCCCACCGGACGAGCTGGAGGAAGTGTGAGTGGATAGGGAAGTCTGGGCGTCTCAGCCTAGACTGCTGCCCCCGCGACCCGGCGACAGATAAAGCGGAAGAAAATGGATGAATGGATGTAATGTGTTAAAATAAGAAAAATTCAATGCTAAAGATAAAATCAAAATGTCCTATGGTGTTTACAGTATTCTTATTCTGTGACTCAAATGCACGTTGTCCACTCTAGTGGACATGTCACTAACTCCATGGATAATTCATGTTTTTTCAAAATTAAAATATTGTCTATCTTTTCATGCCTAAAGAGTATATAAAACACTTGGGGAAAAAATCTTGAAGAAGCCTATCATGATTCATGCATGAAAAAGATATTTTATTATAGATCCACGGCAAAGACATTTGGAAAACGGGAGCAGATCAGTTTGAACATTAAAAATACTAAGAAGGATAACGCCAGCGTCCTCTCACAGCCCGGAAGATGTTATTCTGTCTGTTACAATTCACTCTTTGGAACAACAACACGACAAATAAATTCCCACCGTAAACCGGCTCTAGAGCAACCGTTTGAAATGGTCCGCTGTGGGAAACTGTCTCTTTAAAATGGCCCAGGATTCACAGTGAGTAGGATTATGATCGGGACACTCACCTCTGAGGGTTTCTCACTGATCTGGGGTCAGCTCTGGGTCTGGTGGAGTCTCTCAGTCCAAAAGCAGAAGTCTGTTCAAGTACAACAAAGACAAGAGCCTAAAGTCTCCAAAAACATGATCAACATTTATAAAGTTCTGTGAATTGTGTTGTCCATTTGATGATGAAACCAAACGTACTACCAACGCAGAAGGTTGTCTTTAAAAGTTAGATTTACAAACCTCGACAGCCAGGTCTCCCAGTTTGAGAACCAGCACGAGCTGAGAGCAGTCCACTGAGACCGAGCGATCGGGGCGAGTTATAAACGCTGCTGCACGTCATATCAGTGAACAGGAAAAACTGGGTTTCAGCAATTTCGACTACCGTGCGGAACCGTGCCAGAAATACATTCCAAGCAAAGGACAGTAGAAAACAATCATTAAAATAGTAAAATGATTATTTTACATTATGGCAGCTGAGGCTCTGATTTTTCCTGCCTCCCCTGACTGCACGTCCTAATAATAATATTACTAATAATAATGATAATAATAATAATAATAATAACAATAATAATAATAATAATAATAATAATAATAATAATACAGATTTATCGTAGCAGATCTAGTTCACTGTATTCCTGCTTTTCGTTGATGCACCTGTCTGAGTTGTTACTGAGTCGGATTTTCTAAAACAGCTACAACGACTGAACAGAACCTAGCCCTGTTGTGACAAAGAAGAGAGAACAGAGGAAAAGGCATTGTATAGTAAGACTCAGGTAGGGCTCTGTAATAAACGTGTGTAGATGGACGTGTGTAGATGGACGTGTGTAGATGGAGGGAGAGAGGGCAGAGGAGGGAGAGAGGGCAGAGGAGGGAGAGAGGGCAGAGAAGGGAGAGAGGGCAGAGAAGGGAGAGAGGGCAGAGGAGGGGGAGAGGGCAGAGGAGGGAGAGAGGGCAGAGGAGGGCAGAGGAGGGGGAGAGGGGCAGAGGAGGGAGAGAGGGCAGAAGAGGGCAGAGGAGGGGGAGTGGGCAGAGGAGGGAGAGAGGGCAGAGGAGGGAGAGAGTGGCAGAGGAGGGAGAGAGGGCAGAAGAGGGCAGAGGAGGGGGAGAGGGCAGAGGAGGGAGAGAGGGCAGAAGAGGGCAGAGGAGGGGGAGAGGGCAGGAGGGAGAGAGTGGCAGAGGAGGGAGAGAGGGCAGAGGAGGGAGAGAGGGCAGAGGAGGGACAGAGGGCAGCGGAGGGAGAGAGGGCAGAGGAGGGGGAGAGGACAGAGGAGGGAGACAGGGCAGAGGAGGGAGAGAGGGCAGCGGAGGGAGAGAGGGCAGAGGAGGGAGAGAGGGCAGAGGAGGGAGAGAGGGCAGAGGAGGGAGAGAGAGCAGAGGAGGGAGAGAAAGCAGCGGATGGAGAGAGGGCAGAGGAGGGAGAGAGGGCAGCGGAGGGAGAGAGGGCAGAGGAGGGGGAGAGGGCAGAGGAGGGAGAGAGGGCAGAGGAGGGAGAGAGGGCAGCGGAGGGGGAGAGGGCAGAGGAGGGGGAGAGGGCAGAGAAGGGAGAGAGGGCAGAGGAGGGAGAGAGGGCAGAGGAGGGACAGAGGGCAGAGGAGGGAGAGAAAGCAGCGGAGGGAGAGAGGGCAGCAGTAGAACACTGCGGTAAAGAGGCCTGGCTTTTCGGAGTCAGCGGTAAAGCGGGTGGCCGCTTTATGCTGCTACTTATGGTAACGTTGGAAAGAGACAGGAACCAGATACGATCTCCACATTTAAGGCCAGGCCTAAAGCACTCTACTTTAATTTAGCATATAGTTAAACTGTTTGCCTGGTTTGGCTTGCACACTTGGTGTCACCAGGTGTGTAAGTCTCACCTCCTTCCAGATACTCTCTCTTTATTCAAGGTTAGGCTTAAAACAGACCTCTTTAGTTAGCGTGTGGTGAGGAAGGTAAGACTCAGGGAAGGCTAAACATCTAAGACTGTCAGTCAAGCTGCGAGGGAGTCAGTTTGCTGGGAGAAGTATGGTATCTTGAGCGCTTTCCTCTCCTTCCTACTTTATCTACTTTATCTGTTTAGCATTATTAGGACTTTGAGGTTTTGTTCCTTGCTATTCACCCGTTGTCCCATTGTCTGTTTCATGGTACGATGACGGGACCCCTGAACCTGGCTTCCTCCACCTACACCTGCGGACTGCCCCGCCCGACCCGCCTGGGAGTGCCTAGTCCTGCACCGGACCTGTCCACGTTCAGCGGCCACTGGCCTAGTTTTGTAGCTAGCTTAGGTCCTGGATCTATAGCCCGTCCGTCCGGAGGAGCGGATCCCTTTCTCAACACGAGTCTCCCTAAGGTTTCTCCCTTTTTTCCACTGGGTTTTTTATGAGTTTTTCCTTGCTGATGCAGGAGGGTCTTGTTGGATGGTTAGTGTCCAACAGAAAGGATGTGGTGACGATCCAGGACACTTTAGCATTCTACAATATGTATGGACATTTTTTTTTGTGTGCCCTATATTTTTCATGTGTTTTTAACTGTTGATTCTCTGATCTGTGTTGATGATTTCAATCGTTTTGTAAAGTCCTCTGAGATGACTTCTGTTGTGATTTGGGGCTATACAAGAATAAATTTAATTTAATTGAATTGAATTGTCCTGAATAAGTTTAGCCAGTTGTCCTTTTAAAGTTCTGTTGAACCTCTCCACCATACCGTTACCTCTCGGGTGATATGGAGAAGTCCTTTTCGTTTTTATGTTTAAGTTCCAACATATTGTTTGAATGATTTCTGATTCATATTGTCTGCCCTGATCAGAAAACAATTCCTCTGGGACACCATGTTCAGGAATATACCTCTCACAAAGTAATTGTACTACTGTAGCTGCCTTTTGATCAAACATAGCATAAGCATTCACATATTAGGTGAAATGATCTTGGACCACAAGGACATATCTATTTCCAGCAGAAGTTACAGGGAGCTCTGTAATGTCAGTGCAAACAAACTGAAAGGGTCTCTCAGCCTGAATAGATTGCAATGGTGCTCTGCGCTGTGGCACAGGCTTTCTGAAGGCCTCACATGACTTACACAGGTTACAAAAGTCCTCAATATCAGATCTCATACCTGGCCAATAACACATTGTCATAGCTTTCTTAAATGTGCGCTCGGCACTGTAATGACCAGAACATGGGTTAACATGCAGAAAATGCATTGTCTCAGAAATAATTAAAGATGGTATCACGACTTGATAAACCTCGGGTTTCCCTGGCACCTTGTGACCTTTACGGCATGTAAAGTATCACACAAAACCAGCTTGGGAAACTGCCACCAAAGTTTTCTCTGAGTTTTATCTTTAATCTGCCTAAGAAAAGGATGTTTCCCAGACTGTACCCAGTAATACACATCTGAAATAATAGGGTCAGAAAGTTGTGCAGATACAATATCAGCATTGTTCATAGCAAAAGTAAGTGGTGACATGTTAATACCAGTAGAGACCTGTCCAGCAACACTGTCTACAAAACATACTTGCGATGTTTGATTGGTCTTGAGTGGTTCCAGAGCTGAATTAAGCAACTCTGTGCTTGTTTTTTCTGTAGTAGGAGTGGGAATGTCAGCAGAGGGAGACACAATCACCTCCATTGTATCATGAATCATTGATGGTATACGTGACATTGCATCTGCATTCGTGTGCTTCTTTCCATCCTTATGAGTGATTGTCCAAAGGTAGGGATCAAACTCCAATGCCCACCGACCTCGGCGTCCAGTAGGATCGTGCGTGATGTCCATCTTTCTTAAACTAAGCAGAGGGCGTGGTCAGTAATAATGGTAAAAGGATTACAACCAAGGCTACCTTTTTATAGCGCACGTGACCTCATCACAGTCTTATCAATACAACACATCAATATAAATCCGCTTACATTATTACCAATCATGTAGAGGAAAAATTCTGCCTTGTGCATATTGTTAGAATGATGACTTAGGACGTTTACCACAGTAGCTTTTGTCAAGTATGAGTTGGCGTTTCAAATAAACACTAAGAATGTTTGACCTGAAAATAACACAGCCACATGTTAACGCATTGTTTTGTTGAGAATGACAAGTTCATACACCAATCGTTATTTACACGGCTCTTTACGATGCAGGATTTGTCCTTCAGGACCTTAGCTCTGAGTTCCTTAATCCACAGACAGACTGAAAAGTTGCAGCATCCATGTTTTTTCACACTAGCAAGTGGATTAGAAACTAAAGTGAAGTGACAGTCTAGGATCGTGTTGGGGGTTCCGTCCTAAAAACCTTTTTCATTCTAACCCATGCATATTGTTAGAATGATGACTTAGAACGTTAACCACAGTAGCTTCAAAGTGTTCTGAAATATCCAAAAAAGCGTGTCGCATTTTCTTCTCAACTTTTGCTGGCCTGACCACCACTTCGTCGACCGGAAGTTTATGCGTCACGTGACTGCAAGCCAAGAATATGCCCTTACCCCAATCGGGGCTCGGGTCTAATAAAAAAGGATTTTTTAAAAAGTGTCCGAGTGTTACGGACCAGGTCCTTGTTTTTGTTTCTCCTTGCCTCCGCCTCCTCAGACCTCCCTCCCACTGACGTCTCACTATGCACCTGTGGGCTAATCACCTGGGAGGCATAAAAAGAGCCTGGCTCCAGACCAGTCTCTCTTCCACTTGGGCCTGGATCCTGCGGCTGCACACCCGTGTGACCTTTTTTTGCATTTATTTATATGTAAATAAACCTTGTTACTTTTTAGACCCCGTTTCCTGTCTATGTTCCACCCCCCGGTTCTTTTTGTGTTACTGAGTCACACTCTCTAGACTTCAACACCTAGTGGCTCGTAATACGTGGGGGCTCGTCCGGGATACAGTGGAACTGCGGTGGGTGCACCAGGAGTCGTGCGCTCTGGGTGAGTCGCGTGTGCGTGTGTGGGTGCGTGTGACATTCAGTGGCAGTCAACTCCAAATTGACCCAGCTAGACCAGGGGGGTGTCCAGCTTGGTTGATTTATTCGCCATTCCTTCGGGCATCCGTTTTTTGTTTTAGTTTATTATTTTCGGGACGAATCCTGGGCGGAGTGGATTCTCTGACGGGGGCTGCACGCCTCGAGCCCGGCAAGTCCCAGAAGATATTTAGGTTAAGTTTTTCCTGAGTAGGAGTCTGGGTCAATACCTGTGTTTGCACTGATTTGGTTTTGTTAAGGCACCCTGCATAACCTCTTTTCACCCGTGTGCGAGTGTGAGTGTGTGTGTGCGTAAGCTTTGAGCGCAGCTGTGTGCGGGCGCGTGCTTGGCACCTCCCAGGAGGCAGGTCGAGTGGAAGGTGCCATCAGGTGTTCCAGTTGTGAGTGGGATCAACTGATCAGCCCGGTGAGTGATGGCTACGTTTGATTTGGAAGCATTTGTGGCTGAGCCAACGCACGTGGCGTTGGAGTTGTGTAGAAAAGTAGATTTGCTGGAGATAGCTCGACACTATGCAATCCCTGTGTCTCCTGCGTTACGCGTGGGTGAGTTGAGGGAGGCTATACTGGCAGAGTTGGTGGCCAACGGGGTTGTGGTATTGCCTGTGTCGAGTGATCCAGTGGCAGGAGCGGCAGTGGGAGATGCAGTGGTGTCCCCAGTGCGTCCTGGAGTAGAGCGCGTGGAGCAGCCGCAGCTGGGCTCTCCCGCGGCGCTGTTTGAGGAGGCTGAGGAGAAGTCTCCTGGTTTAGGGTTGCGCTCCCCTCGCGATGCACGCGTGGATGTGCGCATTGCTCGTCTGAAGCACGAGAGGGAAAAAGAGGAGCGAGAGTTTCACTTGAAACGTGAAATTGAGTTGAGGCGTATAGAGGTAGAGGCTGCTACTGCTCGGGAAGTAGAGTTTCGAAAGCTGGAGGCTGACACCGCGTTAAAGATGCGGCAATTAGAATTGCATGCAGCGGGTCGCGGTCCATCTCCCTTGTCACCTGTCAGTGCGCACGAGTCATTTGATGTGACTAAAAATATACAGCTGGTCCCAGCCTTCCGTGAGACGGAGGTTGAGTCTTATTTTGGAGTGTTTGAGCGCATTGCAGGGGCATTGCACTGGCCTAGGGACGTGTGGGCGATCCTTTTGCAGTGCAAGTTGAGTGGAAAAGCCTCAGAAGCGTGTGCGTCTTTGTCTGTCTCTGACAGTCTGAATTATGACTGTTTAAAGGGGGCTATTTTGCGTGCCTATGAGCTGGTGCCCATGAGCTGGTGCCCATGAGCTGGTGCCCGAAGCTTATAGACAGCGATTTAGGGGTCTCCGCAAGTCATTCAGCCAGAGTTATGTGGATTTTGCGCGTGAAAAGGGCCTGTTATTTGACAGATGGTGCTCCGCGAGCAAGGCCAGTACTTTTGAGTCTCTGCGTGAGCTGTTTCTCATAGAGGAGTTTAAGAACTGCCTCTCAGAGCGCGTTGTTGTTTATTTAAATGAACAAAAAGTGAGCTCTCTTCAACAAGCAGCTATTTTGGCAGATGAGTTTTCGCTCACTCACAAGGCTGTCTTTAAGCGTGAGCCCTATCCAAAGTCTGAGGAGAGGCCCAACGTTAGTCCTGCAGCTAGTTCTAGGCCAGAGAAGGCTAAGCAGTGTTATTTCTGTCACAAACCCGGCCATCTGGTGGCGGATTGTGACTCTTGGAAGCGCAAACAGCCTGCGCCCAAACCAAAGTGTGATGACTGTTTTAAGCCATTCATTTTTGAAGCTTTTGTGTCAGTTCCAGGAGCGGCTAAGCGCGCTGTTAAAGTCTTACGTGACACTGGTGGCTCACAGTCTTTCATTCTCTCTGGTGTCCTGCCTCTGGGTTTGCAGACTGACTGTCATGTGAGCACTATAGTGAAAGGCATCGGCCTTAGCTATGTGCCAGCACCGCTGCACAATGTCCATGTTGAGTCGAATCTTGTTAGTGGAGTATTCCCTGTGGCTGTGCGGGACCAGTTCCCCATCGATGGGGTGGAGTTCATCATGGGGAATGACCTTGCAGGTGGCAAAGTGTACCCCTCCCCTGAGGTTGTTACTCGCCCTATCCTGAGCTCTGATGTGGATGAGCTGGCTGAGAAACACCCTGACGTGTTTTCTGTGAGCGTTCTGACCCGCGCTCAGTCTAAAATGGCGAGAGAGCAAAGTGAGGTTGATTTGGGTGATTCTGTGCTTGCTCCTGTTTTCTCTGGTCTTAGTGCGCCCTCGTGTGGACGAACTGGGGAGGACTCAAAGGCCCAGCCTGACAGTGAGGAGCCAGATTGCAGCCCCTCTTTGTCTCCCCTGCTTACAAGTGACGCGCTGATCGAAGCTCAAAAATCTGATGTGACCTTGACTAAATGTTTTTCTGTTATAGACAGTCCAGCAGCCCAAAGTCAATTTTTCCTTGACAAGGGGGTATTGATGCGGAAGTGGGTCCCCCAGGAAGGTAACCACTCTGACACTGACTGGTGTACAGTTTTCCAGATAGTGGTTCCCAAGTGTTACAGACAACATGTGCTATCTCTGGCGCATGAGCATGTGTGGTCCGGCCACCTCGGTGTGACAAAAACCTATAACCGTGTTCTGCAACATTTCTTTTGGCCAGGGCTGAAGGCTGATGTCGCTAGGTTCTGTAGGACCTGCACTACATGCCAAGCGGTGGGGAAACCAAGCCAGGTGGTGCCGCCGGCTCCGCTGCGTCCCGTACCTGCTGTTGGGGAACCGTTTGAGCACGTGATTATGGACTGTGTTGGCCCTCTACCTAAGACAAAGGCTGGTAACCAGTTCCTATTGACTATAATGTGTGTTGCAACTCGTTTCCCAGAGGCCATCCCACTACGCAGAATTACTGCCCCTACTGTTGTCAAGGCGATGACAAAGTTCTTCAGCACTTTTGGCCTTCCTCGGATCCTTCAGACAGACCAAGGAACCAACTTCCTGTCCAAGGCGTTCAAGGAGGCATTGCAGTCATTCGGTGTGTCCCACTCTGTGTCCAGTGCATACCACCCGGAGTCTCAGGGAGCATTGGAAAGATGGCACCAAACGTTTAAGTCCATGCTGAGCAAGTTTTGTTTTGAGACTGGCAAAGACTGGGATGAGGGCGTTCCGTTCATGTTATTTGCAATCAGAGATGCCACCCAAGAGTCCCTAGGTTTCAGTCCGGCCGAACTTGTATTTGGTCACCGCATACGTGGACCACTCAAGGTACTGAAGGAGCAGTTCTTGTCAATGTCGAAGCTTAAAGGTGATGTCATAGATGTTGTAACAAAATGTAAACGACGGTTGGGTCATGCCACTACTTTAGCTAGAGCGGCGCTCTCCTCCTCACAGGCTGGCATGAAGAGTCGTTTTGATGTGAAGGCGGTGGCCAGGACTTTTGAGCCAGGCGATGAAGTTTTAGTGTTACTGCCTGCAGAAAGGTAAATGGGGTTACTGTGGCGGACTCTTTTCCTCTCCCTCGTATGGAGGATTGTATAGACAACATTGGTCCTGCGGTGCACATTACAAAGTTGGACTTACTAAAAGGCTACTGGCAGGTCCCTTTAACATCCCGAGCATCAGATATATCTGCCTTCGTTACTCCTGACCATTTCATGCAGTACACTGTGATGGCTTTTGGCATGAGGAACGCACCTGCCACCTTCCAGCGCCTCATGCACATCGTGCTTAGTAATGTTCCTAACTGCAATGTGTACCTTGACGATATTGTGATATACACAGACACTTGGTCCGAGCACGTCGCGGTACTGAAAGAAGTTTTTGAACGTTTGTCCAAAGCAAACCTCACCCTCAACTTGGCAAAATGTGACTTTGGTAAGGCCTCTGTGACATATCTGGGCAAGATTGTAGGCCATGGTTCAGTGCGTCCCATCGATGCTAAAGTTGAGGCGGTCCTCTCCTACCCCCCTCCAAAAACCCGGAGGGAACTGCGGCGGTTCTTGGGCCTGGCGGGCTATTACCGCTGTTTTTGCAAAAAACTTTTCTGTCCTTGCTGCTCCACTCACTGCCCTCTGCAGCCCTTCTGTCCCTTTCACCTGGACAGAAGAATGTGAGGCAGCTTTCCAAGCAGCGAAGTCCCTTTTGTGCAGTGCCCCGGTACTTTCTGCACCAGACTGCTCAAAGCCCTTCATCCTGGAGGTGGATGCGAGTGCCAATGGAGCAGGTGCAGTTTTGCTCCAGGAGGACGAGGCTAGTGTTCCTCATCCTGTGTCCTACTTCTCTAAAAAGTTTAAAAAGCACCAGCTGAACTATTCCACTGTAGAGAAGGAGACCCTGGCTATGCTGCTGGCTCTGCAGCATTTTAAGGTGTATGTTGGGTCCACTTGTGTCCCAGTCACTGTCTTCACAGACCACAACCCCCTCGTGTTCCTGTCCCAGATGTTCAACCAGAATCAACGTCTGATGCGGTGGGCGCTGCTGGCTCAGGACTACAACATCAGCATCCAGCACAAGAGGGGGAAGGACAATGTTGTGGCTGATGCCCTATCGCGTGACTGAGGACACACATCACCACTTGGGTCGCAGGTGGTGATGGCACCCATATCCTTTTCAGCCTTTTCTGACTCCCTGTGTTTACGCTGTTGACAGATCTCGTCACTTTGCTGATTTATCCTTATTGTCTACATGTGTAGTGGCTAGTACAGCAGTGGCTATTTCTAAGTTATCCTACTTGAGTTCCATTATATTGGAAATGCCTGTTCCTACTTGGACTTCACAAATAGTCCCTGAGTGTGGGTACAGATTTGTTAGATGCAGGCATGTTATGTTTTCTGGCTGGGTGGGGGTTTATTTTTATGGGGGGAGGTGTTACGGACCAGGTCCTTGTTTTTGTTTCTCCTTGCCTCCGCCTCCTCAGACCTCCCTCCCACTGACGTCTCACTATGCACCTGTGGGCTAATCACCTGGGAGGCATAAAAAGAGCCTGGCTCCAGACCAGTCTCTCTTCCACTTGGGCCTGGATCCTGCGGCTGCACACCCGTGTGACCTTTTTGTGCATTTATTTATATGTAAATAAACCTTGTTACTTTTTAGACCCCGTTTCCTGTCTATGTTCCACCCCCCGGTTCTTTTTGTGTTACTGAGTCACACTCTCTAGACTTTAACACCTAGTGGCTCGTAATACCAAGCAAAAACAATATAGGTTTCAATGGCACCTATTACATCATTTTAAAGCATTTAAGCTTACGCACACAACCGTCACGTTATGGTGAGTGACGGGCACAGACGCGTCCGTCACCCACCGCCACCATTTGCATTCACCATTGTGAAAGCAATGGGCCATATGCACAGGGAGGCGTGACGTCATTTCCTGTTAACGCAGCTCAGCCCGTTCACTTCCTGCCCATGCAATCCTATGGCATTTAGGTGAGTTTTAGTTAAGTTTTTTAGTAATTAGATTTATACATTCAGCTGTGAGACTGACCCAAAAGTGTTGCTGTGCTTTCTCTCTGAGGTAGAGCTTTGTCTGTGGCCACTCAGAGCGATTTTTAAACTTTATAAAAACACAATGACAGCACAATCAAAGAGCACTATTGTGTCCCAAAAATGCCCTGTATCCTCAGTTAAATTTCCGTTTGAGCCTTATTTGGGAAACTTGTGTAAACCACTGCTGAACTCCAGTTCAACTCAAGCAGTTTCCCGCGAACAGGAACTGAAGTGGGGTTGTAGCTAAAACCCAGAAGTGGTGCGTGCATAGAGCCCATAGGCCCTTACCCGGTTCGGGGCTCGGGCCTAATAAGGATTTTTTTCCGAAAATGTTCGGGCAAAAACACTATAGGTTTCCATAGTAACCTATAATACAAATGATGGTAACACTTTACATTACGGGCCGGTAAGTCCATGGTACTTACAGTGGTACTTCTAGGTACTTACAGTGGTACTTCTAGGTACTTACAGTGGTACTTACGGTGGTACTTACGGTGGTACTTACGGTGGTACTTACGGTGGTACTTACGGTGGTACTTACGGTGGTACTTACAGGGGTACTTACGGTGGTACTTACGGTGGTACTTACGGTGGTACTTACAGTGGTACTTACAGTGGTACTTACAGTGGTACTTACAGTGGTACTTCTAGGTACTTACAGTGGTACTTCTAGGTACTTACAGTGGTACTTACGGTGGTACTTACGGTGGTACTTACGGTGGTACTTACGGTGGTACTTACGGTGGTACTTACAGTGGTACTTACAGTGGTACTTACGGTGGTACTTACGGTGGTACTTACGGTGGTACTTACGGTGGTACTTACGGTGGTACTTACGGTGGTACTTACAGGGGTACTTACGGTGGTACTTACGGTGGTACTTACGGTGGTACTTACGGTGGTACTTACGGTGGTACTTACGGTGGTACTTACAGGGGTACTTACGGTGGTACTTACGGTGGTACTTACGGTGGTACTTACAGTGGTACTTACAGTGGTACTTACAGTGGTACTTCTAGGTACTTCTAGGTACTTACAGTGGTACTTCTAGTGGTACTTCTAGGTACTTATTGTGGTACTTACAGTGGTACTTAGAGGTACTTATTGTGGTACTTACAGTGGTACTTCTAGGTACTTATTGTGATAATTCTAGATACAGCTGTAACTTAGTAATTCAAGGACACTACAGTATTATTCCTATGTAGTAAATGTGGTACTTCTACATACATACATACAGAGGTCATTTGTAGGATTGTTTGACTATAAAACATAAAACAACATTATGTAAAACAAACGTCTTTATTAATATGGAATAAGTAGCACAGAAAGGACAGTATAAATACATTTAATGCATATTTCAAAACAAGTTTCAAGGACAAGGGAAACACTGCAAGAACTAGGTACCCAACCCAAGTAACAAGAATTACACATTACCAGGTACTTACCAGCCAAGTACCAGGTACTTACCAGCAAGTACCAGGTACTTACCAGCAAGTACCAGGTACTTAACAGCAAGTACCAGGTACTTAACAGCAAGTACCAGGTACTTACCATAGGGACTGGCCCATAATAAGACAAAGGACTTTAACATAAGTACCAGTGATAACACCAGTAATTATACAGTAAGTACCAGGTACTTACCATAGGGACTGGCCCATAATAAGACAAAGGACTTTAACATAAGTACCAGTGATAACACCAGTAATTATATAGTAAGTACCAGGTACTTACCATAGGAACTGGCCCATAATAAGACAAAGGACTTACCCATAAGTACTAGTGATACCAGTAATTATATAGTATACCATGTACTTACCAGCAAGTACCATGTACTTACCAGCAAGTACCAGGTACTTACCAGCAAGTACCAGGTACTTACCAGCAAGTACCAGGTACTTACCAGCAAGTACCAGGTACTTACCAGACACCGTTTTAAAGCGAACGACCAGACGAACGCAACTATTGGGTTCTCAACGATTGAGAACCCAAGGTCTAGGTGCAATTCGCTACCAAGAGTTGTCTGGTAAGATGTGAACAATAGGTTATGCATCCCGCACACTCGATGAGTGAGAGAAAATTATCATGTGCACTTGGGGAAACTTGAGTTTCTTGCCTTAACATTCATGAGATATATAGACTATTTGAACAATTCATCATGCACAGTGAATGTGGATAATAATCCACTTACATTTGTGTTATCAACAACTAAACTAAATGTTACTAGAAGCCACTGAGACCTACAAGGAAATAATTATCTCAGCTTGTTTCCTTGTGCTGGCAGGTTGGGCTGCTAGTACAAGGAACAAGGAACAACTTGTGCTGCCAAGAACAATGTGATCTGTTGTTCCTAGAAAAATAAAATATTAGGGCCGGGACTTTGCAGAATGCTCACTGGAAAGAGTCACCCAATAAAATAATTTCAATCTGAAGAGACTAAACTGGGGTTTTATTAGAATGTAAATGTATATAGGTTAGCAATTAACTGACACTGCATAACTTAGTCAGTGTATATCTAATTCAGTATCTAAAGACATCGCTACATCATCGGCCCCCTTTCCAAGTCCCCCTCTCGTTTCCCTCTGACCCACTGGGCGTCGCTACCCGCAAGTACTCCCGGGAGATGCGTCACATACTTCACCACACTCACCCCCGCTTCACGGGCCCACCCCAAGCCTGAATGGTTTGTCCGACCGCGGGCACTCGTTCAGGGTCTGGCGGCGTTCTGGGTTCTATTTGCCGTACGCCCTGCCCTGCTGATCAAGAAATGTCTCTGTGATGGGGAGAAGTGTGGACTCTGTGGGAGCTGTGCTGGAGAGAAGGATGAGGGCTCTAATGCAGGGCATCCTGAGTAACTCCAGACACCCTCTCCATTACACTATGGCCGCTCAGAAGACTAATCGCAGCAACAGGCCTCTATCACTACGCTGCCGAACGGAACGTTTCAAAAGATCCTTTGTTCCTTCGGCTGTCAGACTGTAAAACAAACCTGACTGACTGTCAAACCTGACTGACTGCACTACAACAAGGAAATAATTTTCTCAGCTTGTTTCATTGTGCTGGCAGGTTGGGCTGCTAGTACAATGAAACAAGGAACAACTTGTGCTGCCAAGAACAATGTGAACTGTTGTTCCTAGAAAAATAAAATATTAGGGCTGGGACTTTAACGCGTTAATTACAATTAATTTAATTAATTATTGTGGACAGAGTGTGTGGAGGAGGACGAGGAGGAGGTCACAGTGTGTGGAGGAGGAGGTTAGAGTGTGTGGAGGCGATGACAGATAAGTAATTTCAGGGGTTCCCAAAGTTTTTAACCCGCGACCCCCTTGATAAATGCGCTGCTCCCCCGCGACCCCCCACCTCAACAGCCCTTCCCGTCACAAGAAATGAGCACATATTTCCTTGATTCGGAGTAACGCTTTATAGAGACTCGCACCAGTAGCCCAAAAAAGGAGGCCTGCGTGTTGGTACTTGCATAGTGACACGGTGATGGGCTTGGTGGGCTCCCTCCTGAGCAGAGGTGGAGCGCATTTCTTGCGGCTCGCCCTCACTGTTTTCCGACCGCAGTAAAGAGACCCAGCTCTTTGGAGTCAGCGGTAAAGAGGTCCGCACATGAAAAGCGGGTGACCGTTTTATGCTGCTGTTGCTTACAGTCAAAAGTGCATTTTGGCGGGTTATCCCAGCGGCTTCTCTTTCCAACGTTACCATAAGTAGCAGCATAAAGCGGCCACCCGCTTTACCGCTGACTCCGAAAAGCCAGGCCTCTTTACCGCAGTGTTCTACTGCTGCCCTCTCTCCCTCGCGCTGCTTCTCTCCCTCCTCTGCCCTCTGTCCCTCCTCTGCCCTCTCTCCCTCCTCTGCCCTCTCTCCCTCCTCTGCCCTCTCTCCCTTCTCTGCCCTCTCCCCCTCCTCTGCCCTCTCCCCCTCCGCTGCCCTCTCTCCCTCCTCTGCCCTCTCCCCCTCCTCTGCCCTCCTCTGCCCTCTCCCCTCCTCCCTCTCTCCCTCCTCCCCCTCTCTCCCTCCTCTGCCCTCTCCCCTCCTCTGCCCTCTCTCCCTCCGCTGCCCTCTCTCCCTCCTCTGCCCTCTCTCCATCCGCTGCTTTCTCTCCCTCCTCTGCTCTCTCTCCCTCCTCTGCCCTCTCTCCCTCCTCTGCCCTCTCTCCCTCCTCTGCCCTCTCTCCCTCCGCTGCCCTCTCTCCCTCCTCTGCCCTGTCTCCCTCCTCTGTCCTCTCCCCCTCCTCTGCCCTCTCTCCCTCCGCTGCCCTCTGTCCCTCCTCTGCCCTCTCTCCCACCTCTGCCCTCTCTCCCTCCTCTGCCACTCTCTCCCTCCTGCCCTCTCCCCCTCCTCTGCCCTCTTCTGCCCTCTCTCCCTCCTCTGCCCTCTCCCCCTCCTCTGCCCTCTTCTGCCCTCTCTCCCTCCTCTGCCACTCTCTCCCTCCTCTGCCCTCTCTCCCTCCTCTGCCCACTCCCCCTCCTCTGCCCTCTTCTGCCCTCTCTCCTCCCTCCCTCTCTGCCTCTCCCCTCCTCTGCCCTCCTCTGCCCTCCTCCCTCCTCTGCCCTCTCCCCCTCTCCTCCCCCCCTCTCTCCCCTCTCTCCTCCCCCTCCCTCTCTGCCCCTCTCCTCCCCTCCTCTGCCCTCTCTCCCCTCCTCTGCCCTCTCTCCCTTCCTCCCTCTCTCCCTCCTCTGCCTCTCTCCTCTCTCCCTCCTCTGCCCTCTCTCTCCCTCTCTCTGCCCTCTCTCCCTCCTCTACACACACGTCCATCTACACACGTCCATCTACACACGTTTATTACAGAGCCCTACCTGAGTCTTACTATACAATGCCTTTTCCTCTGTTCTCTCTTCTTTGTCACAACAGGGCTAGGTTCTGTTCAGTCGTTGTAGCTGTTTTAGAAAATCCGACTCAGTAACAACTCAGACAGGTGCATCAACGAAAAGCAGGAATACAGTGAACTAGATCTGCTACGATAAATCTGTATTATTATTATTATTATTATTATTATTATTATTATTGTTATTATTATTATTATTATTATCATTATTATTAGTAATATTATTATTAGGACGTGCAGTCAGGGGAGGCAGGAAAAATCAGAGCCTCACCTGCCATAATGTAAAATAATCATTTTACTATTTTAATGATTGTTTTCCACTGTCCTTTGCTTGGAATGTATTTCTGGCACGGTTCCGCACGGTAGTCGAAATTGCTGAAACCCAGTTTTTCCTGTTCACTGATATGACGTGCAGCAGCGTTTATAACTCGCCCCGATCGCTCGGTCTCAGTGGACTGCTCTCAGCTCGTGCTGGTTCTCAAACTGGGAGACCTGGCTGTCGAGGTTTGTAAATCTAACTTTTAAAGACAACCTTCTGCGTTGGTAGTACGTTTGGTTTCATCATCAAATGGACAACACAATTCACAGAACTTTATAAATGTTGATCATGTTTTTGGAGACTTTAGGCTCTTGTCTTTGTTGTACTTGAACAGACTTCTGCTTTTGGACTGAGAGACTCCACCAGACCCAGAGCTGACCCCAGATCAGTGAGAAACCCTCAGAGGTGAGTGTCCCGATCATAATCCTACTCACTGTGAATCCTGGGCCATTTTAAAGAGACAGTTTCCCACAGCGGACCATTTCAAACGGTTGCTCTAGAGCCGGTTTACGGTGGGAATTTATTTGTCGTGTTGTTGTTCCAAAGAGTGAATTGTAACAGACAGAATAACATCTTCCGGGCTGTGAGAGGACGCTGGCGTTATCCTTCTTAGTATTTTTAATGTTCAAACTGATCTGCTCCCGTTTTCCAAATGTCTTTGCCGTGGATCTATAATAAAATATCTTTTTCATGCATGAATCATGATAGGCTTCTTCAAGATTTTTTCCCCAAGTGTTTTATATACTCTTTAGGCATGAAAAGATAGACAATATTTTAATTTTGAAAAAACATGAATTATCCATGGAGTTAGTGACATGTCCACTAGAGTGGACAACGTGCATTTGAGTCACAGAATAAGAATACTGTAAACACCATAGGACATTTTGATTTTATCTTTAGCATTGAATTTTTCTTATTTTAACACATTACATCCATTCATCCATTTTCTTCCGCTTTATCTGTCGCCGGGTCGCGGGGGCAGCAGTCTAGGCTGAGACGCCCAGACTTCCCTATCCACACACACTTCCTCCAGCTCGTCCGGTGGGACCCCAAGGCGTTCCCAGGCCAGCTGAGAGACATAGTCCCTCCAGCGTGTCCTGGGTCTTCCCCGGGGCCTCCTTCCGGTGGGACGTACCCGGAACACCTCCCCAGGGAGGCGCCCAGGAGGCGTCCGGAACAGATGCCCGAGCCACAATTTAACACATTCCAAAAGTGTAAAATGTGTTGTCTGAAACATTAACCAAAAAAAACCACATTTGTTGTACTGACTAAATGCCTGAACTACTATAATGAACTTGGCTGGTACTAATCAGCATAGAACTAAGACCAGACTTTAAAATCTGCAAAGGCTTGTACATCCTGGTATTTGAGTATGACATGACCAAAATGATCCCTAGAAACTTCTTCAGTTCACCCAGTGCAATAGTAGTAGTAGTTATTTTCCATTTTGCATCGCATGGGGGTCTGAGTTGACCATTATATCATCAATCAGCTCATTCAGAATTTGATGAAGGAAGATATCTATTTGGGCTCCTCTCTCAATCTTCAACTACCACTCTCCTAAAAAGTAAAGCGTAAATTGTCTCTCAAACTTATATTCTACTCAGCATCTTCTCCTTCTACATCTTCAACTTCTCTTTCACAGCTGTTACCATTTACTAATTGTCTTTTGTCTAGAAAAATTCTTCATCACATCCCACAAACATCACCCTCACTTGAGTCAGATGGTTGTTCCTGGACTGTCCTCTAGGCTTTTCTAGTCTGCTCTGGCCCTGACCACTACAAAACACATGGAAAAGGATAATTATTCTCATGATTGCCAAATATTCACAAGATATAATATATATCAAATAATGTAGTTTATTTGTAGCCAAAACTGTATTGAAAATGAAGTATTTCCTGAAACAACAAAGTTTGAGGAACACTATGCACTGTATTCAAAATGTAGCCAGTGATGCACAGCGTCCACTTTAATGGACACAGAAAATCAATACTTGGGTTTTTCGACATTTATACGGCTCCTTAGATGTTACTTGACGTTGAGTAGTTTCAGATTGATCACTTTAATGATATATGCTTTTGTGTTTCCCAACGACCAGCCCTGATAACAATAACGCTGCCTTATAAATATCCAGATCCTTCAGTGTGACAGACAGAGGTCAGAGAAGCCGTAAAGTAAGTGTCAGCTGCATTCGTGACAACTTCAGGATTTGTAAAACTCTATTACTTTTTAATTATATTTTCTTCTTGTTTTCAGTAAAGTTATCGTTGAATTACTTCAGAACGATGGGGAAGTTTGGAGTGTTGTTTTTGTGTTTGATTTTACAGATTGGAACAGGGTTTGCTTCAGGTAAATATTACTACTAATATTTCCAGCATGTGTTCATTATGACTTCTTCCGTCTATATTTGGACATCCTAAACATTCTGTAACATTTTCGGTATTGGGTAATTATTTCTTTTATTTGTATTGTAGTTGTCAAGATCGCAATTATTGGATCATTATTCATGTTCTATTATGTTGGAGATATCTAACTTTAAAACAACCAAAAATGAAAGAATATGTAGGTAATTTATTATTATTTGAAAACAATTGAAAATGATCAAGTCAAATGATACATGATACAAAAAACTTGACTCAAAATAATACTGTATACCATTGTAAATTCGTAAATATCGTGAGTTATAGACTCCATTAGTATACCACTTATATGCCACTATTATGTTAAGCTTTTCTGTCGCTTCAACAGAGTTGATTTCCCGCAGGTGTCCCTGTGACCAGCTGTGAGGCGTGTCACCCTGAAGCCACCTGCCTGAGGCGTGAGGAGAGAAGAGAAACGTTACCCACCACCACCGTCTCCTGCCAGTGCAAAGATGGATTTGTTGGCGACGGCGTCAACTGTTACGAAGTGAAAGAATGTGGGGGTGACTCCTCTTGCTGTAGCGCAGGTTACAAATGGTCCCCTAAAGAGGGCTGTGTGGATGTAGACGAGTGCTCTCTCAAGCCGTCCCCCTGTGCTGCATCTCAGATCTGCAGAAACACACAGGGCTCCTTTGAATGTTCTGTAAATCCTGCTCTGCGCACACAGCGGAGTGCTAGAGCAGCGGAATTAGTGAACGCTGTGCAGTTTATGTGTGGAAACACTCCATGTCCACACGGCATGGACTGCATTACCAACAATGGGACGGCCCACTGTGCTGACCCCTGCGAGCATTATACTGCTCTGGATGACCCCTGGCGTGCAACAGATAACAGAGAGACAGGACAAGCCAAATGTGACCAGTATTTAAATTGGCAGGGCTGGTATCGATTGTTTTTGAATAGTTCTGACGCTCAATTACCAGAGTATTGTGTGCCGGCGTATATGTGTGGTACCCATGCAGCTATGTACATCACAGAACCCAATCCCACACAGTCCAGGTACATCGAGAGTCGAGATGTTTGTGGTTCATGGTTCTCATGCTGCTCCTTTATAAGTTCCAACATTCATGTCAAGCGTTGCTATGGAGATTACTATGTCTACAAACTTGTGAGACCAATCTCGTGTCACTTGGCTTACTGTGCAGGTACAGTTTCTCTTTTTCAACTTTAACTGTAACAAATGCAAACAAAACTGACTTGTTCTTACTTGTTTACGGTTTTCAACAGAAGTTACAAATAGTTCCAGCACAACTGCACCAGAAACTACTGCAGAAAGAACCACCTTCGACCCGGTTACTACTACTGCATATCCAACTTCTACTGATGCTTACCCAACTACTACTGATACTTTTCCAACAACCACTGATGGTAGCAGTACTGGGGGAGAGGGGCAGGTGCGTTTGGCCAATGGGGGAAACAGCTCTTGCTCTGGACGGGTGGAGATATTCCAGCGGGGGCAGTGGGGCACAGTGTGTGACGATTACTGGGACCTGAATGATGCCAATGTAGTGTGCAGGCAGCTGGGCTGTGGCAGGGCACGATCTGCACCTCAAAATGCAGCATTTGGTCAGGGCAGTGGACCCATCTGGATGGACGATGTCCAGTGTTTTGGATCTGAGCCATCGATCACACACTGTCGTCACAACGGATTTGGAAATCACAACTGTGGGCATCATGAAGATGCTGGTGTTGTCTGTGAAAGTAAGTCTGCAACATGTTTTAGTTTGTGCATTTTATTCCAATTCAGAAACCAATTCTTTGTCTTGTAGTCCGTGAACGAGAAATACAAATCAACCAGTTTATCTGTGGACAAGAACAAATACAAGTCAGTCTGAACAGAGTAACAGTGTCTGTGGCTGGTCTGGACGCCCTCTCTGGTCACCTGGTGGACCGCAACTGTGTCCGTACCAGAGTTCAGAACGACATAGTGTGGTATGAGGTCGTGCCACGAGTAGGAGTCTGTGGAAACACCAGGAGGGTATAGACTTTTCTCTAAGGGTTAAACTCTATTGTCAGAGATGCATATATTCAATGATTGTTTTATTTTTAGACCAACAGCACACACGTCATCTACACCAACAGCTTATTCCTCTATGCTCACAATGATTCCTTCCATGTCCCCGCAAGTCTCCCATTCTCCTGTGTGTATCCTCTGGAGGTAGACACCAGACTCGATGCTGCTCTCAGTCCTTTACTGTAAGTTTAACACATTTTTGATACCATGACCCATAAATGTAACTATGTATATTCCCTTTTTTAGACCATCTAGGGGTATTGTCGGATCAGGTCGGGCCCCAAGAGCATACATGTCTCTTTACCAGGACTCAAATTTTTCCAACACATATCCATCCGGTAGTGTCAGTCTGCCTGTGGGCCAGCCGCTGTACGTTGGAGCCATTGTGGAGGAGAACGATCTCAATTTTGCGACGGTTCTGGACAACTGCTACGGCACATTCTCCTCCGACCCAAATGACCCAACAAGACATCCTCTCATCCAAAACAAGTACGTCTGGTTCTGTGATGATGTAAAATAGGTCACTACAGTGGACAAGGCTTATTGTAAACAAACAGACAGTTATAATATTGAGCTAGTCTGACTGTAAAAGAAAATGATACGCTTACAGTCCATCCATCCAATTCTTTATTTTATAATACATCTACCACATACCACACTGACTAAAGAAAACGAGCCAAGACCCGATATCCAGTTTATGCCATCTCCATATATCAGTTATACGGTTTTGATGATTTTTTTTAATGCTGTAGTAAACTTAGTGTTGTCGACACAGCTCAAGAAACAGGCAAAAAGATGTCAGATTAGTAGAAGTACAGTAACAATAAAGCATATCTGTAATGTTTTTTTTCTCTTTGTGTACAACTTCTGTGATTTTCTCCTGCAGGTGTTCCTCTAACCCTCAGCAGGTGTTGGTGGTAGAAAGTGGCACTTCTCTTCGTGCTCGCTTCTCTGCCCTGTTCTTTGTACCTGGGGGTCAGTACAGAAGCATCTACCTCCACTGCCACCTGAAGCTGTGCAGCCCTGGCCCCTGTGTCCCGGTGAGTGCAGAAAACATACAGCATACACGCGTTTGTGGATGTGGAGTGACATCTTCATTGGGAAATATTTCAGGCATATCCAAGCAGATTAAAAATAGTTTTCATTGTGAATAGTATGTGAACTATACAAAGAGTCATGTAAGAGTAAAACAACATGCACTTCTCATCTATAAGAAAATGTTGTATCTGTTGCATCCTTGGGACTGAGAGCTGATGGGCGTGGCAGTTTTCCTCACCGCTTCACTTTTTAGTCTGAAAAAGCTGATCTAAGAATGTGACAGAGGTCAAAACACATGCATGTAAAAATTGATGAAACCAGTATGTTTTAGGAGTCCGGATTTAGTAGATGATATGAAATGGTTCCTTGTTTTTTGGTTTTTTGTCAACTTTTTTTTCTTTTAAACATAGACCCTTTTTGTCTGTGTTTGGAATAGAATGAAATATATTTATCGTCTACTGGGGTAAAAAAAAATCTTTGGCCCACATTACATAAAACTGTGCAGGATGTCCTCTCTTTGACATTATATTTCTCCTCATGTGTTTGTCATTGACTTCTAAACCTTTGTGTAAAATTTGTGTGTCTTTCTTTGAACAGGTTTGCCCGGGTAGGGCTCGGCGCTCAGTTTCTGAAGGCGTTACCATCCAGCCCCTCACCATTGGACCGATCACATGTGAGTGATAGACACATACTGTGCATGCTGCATTACCGATGTATGGGACTTAAACCATTGTTCTTGTCGTTACAGGGGGAGATAACTGAATATATTCCTCTGTTTTTGTGAATTTGTCCATAATGTTACTGCTATGGCCCCACAACCTGCCATTGGATGACTTATGCATCATTCTTCAGAAATTGTACTTTTCTCTTTTTCTTGTTTTAAATAAAAAAAAAAAAAGACTAATTGATGGTTAAGGCATGTGCAACTGTATGACTTGTTCCTGCTCCAAAATAAACGCTTGTGATAGAATGATGCCTTTCTTGGACTTTTTTTTCTTTCATTGGTTTAAAGCTACTGTAATAATACTGTGGACTGCTGTATAGACTCTTGTTTGGAGTCTATTTTCAACATATTGTAACGTACATTATTTGAAATTAGGTACATTAAAAATGTAATTGAATTTACGCCAGTATACATCTTACAGAAAAGGCACTAAACCGCATAGTCTTCATATTCAGCATATATGTCATCAAAATGACCAGCCTTCAGGAGACCCTACATAAAAAGCATGTTATTTGCATTTGCATTTTGCATTACATTATTTGTGTAACTGTATATTGAATGATGCCAGAATTGTGTAAAAATGCAGTTTTTGTATACATTTTTACGCAAAGATGTGTAGGGCTTAAATCTGAATAATTGTGTGGGGAAGCAAACACGAGTGTGGAATATGAAAGACAGGGAACCATGTGTTAACGACCATTTTTTATTGAATGTACAGATATCAATGGAAATGTACAAAAACAACCATGCACACACAACTACACCAGTGTGTTCTCCTGGTGTGTACCTGGTGTCCTTGATCCAGATCCTTCTCATCAAATGCCGTTCTTTCAAGTAGCTATTGCAGACCATAGTGGCCTGAAAAAGAATCAGAAGTATAGCATGTTGGCTAGCTCTCGGCCTCCCTGTCATGCACAGTATGAACCTATAGTCCTACCTCTGTGATGCTTTGCTGCAGGAGAGAATCACTGGGAGCCGATTAAAGCAGGACTTGAATGAGGCAAGTCTGTTGCTCAAAAGTGTGGATTTATAAAAAAAAAATATGATACACAAAATTTAACCTTTGTGAAAGCCATTTCTACTTGTGACACAGATTACTGATGCAAACCCCAGAAGGTGGTGTGCATCAGTACCAGTGTGGGCGGGTCCCAGCTCAAAAGTGGCCAAAATGACGTGCGCTGACATGCTGCAACACCACCCCGGGCCGATGGGGGTGGACCCGGAATAAGAATTAGCCAATGCTAACATATAGCATCTTCTCACCTCTCAAAAACGTCTTTACAGGATGGACCAAAAGTTGCTCCTGGCCCAAAGCTCCGTTCCACATGTGTGTCCAAGCTGAGGGTGGTGAATTTTTTGGGACCAGTCAAGTTTAGTTACTGTACATTTTTGAAGGCACTCATTAAATAAATTGGGCTCGTGCAGGCTGACGCATGCGCAGATGTGTTTTTTCACAATTTTCTTGTGGGCGGGACCACTCGCGGCCATTTTGGATTGCTCCAGTAGAGCACATTTTTGGCCCATTTGTTTGAACGGCGGAGATAGGCGTGACTCTGTCCGTTAATATTTACAGTCTATGATTAGAACTGACAATGCAAATGACAGCCTTTATAATAATGGACTACACAAGAAAAATACAGTACATGATTAAAACTCTGAGGAAGCTTTCTCTGCACTGCTGTTTTGCTCATAACGTCACAATAGTGAGAATCCCCCATCCTGCAGCACGTGCTGCTCTTTCCTACACAAAGTTGTTCTTGTAAAAATATGTTTGAAAATATTTATATTGCTCCACATTGATGATGCATACACCACGGTCCATTATATTGTAACTTTTAAAGATTTATTTTGAAAGTCAGAAGTTTGTTTGGATTCTTTTGACATGTTTGTGAAAAGCCAACACGGCTCACAGTTTGTTAATAGTTTCTGTGTCCATCATTAATGCAACTTGACCTGACTTTGACAGCAGTACAGTACATCCCGTTTGCTTTTGCATTCTTTTAAGTACAGTCATATTTGGTCAAGAGATGTTTTTCTGATTTATATAATCAGCAGATTGATGGTCAAAGGAGGTTGGGGACTTGCTAAAGAGACACTTTGTAAATTGTGGGACGTCAAGTGTTAGATGAATCACATTTATGAAATATGCTTTTGTGTTTTCCAACAACCAGCACTGACAACAATAATGCTGCCTTATAAAGAGCCAGACCTTTCAGCATGAGTGACTGAGATTTGACGAGCTGCAGAGTAAGTATCAGCTGCATTTATGCCAAACTGTAAGACTCTGTTACTATGTGAACAATATTTATTAAATTAACAATATTTTTTAATCTTGTTTTTCAGGACCGTAATCTTTGAAGATCTCTACAAAGATGGGGAAGTTTGAAGTGTTGTATCTGTATTTCATTTTGCAGATAGGAGGAGGATTTACCTCAGGTGAACGTCTCCAATATTTCCATCAGATGTTTCTAAAGACATTTATTATTTCATGCAAAATGTTCACTCAATGGATAATTGTTTCAATCAAGAATGCATTTTTTTATCTATTGACTATGCCGAATCCAGTAAAACAATGTGTATATTCTCTTTACACTGTGTTTGTGGGAAAAAGCAGTGCTTAAGGGAAAGTGAACATGTTCTACTAAAAGTATTGATTGAGAATGCAGAATTTTAGTCATATCTATCAAATTATATCCAGAGTGGTATTTTATTACAATAATTATGATAATAATAACATTACTATCATTATTATTATTATAAAGTTGAGGTTTTGTCATAGTTGTAGTCTTTTTTTGTTTTGTTTTTCGGCTTATTAAGTCAAAAAAGTGAGATATAATAAGATTACCCATAACCCAATATGCATTATACACAACATTCTGTAGTAACTTGAAAACTGTTTTCGATTTAAAAAAAAAAACAACTTTAAATCACCATAGGACATTGTTCAGCTGTGAAGATCATTTCTGAATTAGAAGTTATAGACTCCATTTTGCCTTATATCGCGTTTTTCTGTCGCTTCAACAGAGTTGATTTCCCGCAGGTGTCCCTGTGACCAGCTGTGAGGCGTGTCATCCTGAAGCCACCTGCCTGAGGCGTGAGGAGAGAAGAGAAACGTTACCCACCACCACCGTCTCCTGCCAGTGCAAAGATGGATTTGTTGGCGACGGCGTCAACTGTTACGAAGTGAAAGAATGTGGGGGTGACTCCTCTTGCTGTAGCGCAGGTTACAAATGGTCCCCTAAAGAGGGCTGTGTGGATGTAGACGAGTGCTCTCTCAAGCCGTCCCCCTGTGCTGCATCTCAGATCTGCAGAAACACACAGGGCTCCTTTGAATGTTCTGTAAATCCTGCTCTGCGCACAGGAGCAAGTCCCTTTGTGAACGCTGTGCAGTTTATATGTGGTAACACTACATGTCCACACGGCATGGACTGCATTACCAACAATGGGACGGCCCGCTGTGCTGACCCCTGCGAGCATTACACTGCTCTGGATGACCCCTGGCGTGCAACAGATAACAGAGAGACAGGACAACCCAAATGTGACAGACATTTAAATTGGCAGGGCTGGTATTGACTGTTTTTGTATAGTTCTGACGCGCAAATACCAGAGCATTGTGTGCCGCAGTATATGTGTGGTACCCATGCACCTATGTTCATAACAGAACCCCATCCCACACAGTCCAGGTACATCGAGAGACGAGAAGTCTGTGGCTCGTATTGGTCCTCATGCTGCTATTCAAGAGGTCCAAGAATTCATGTCAAGCGGTGCAACGGAGATTACTATGTCTACAAACTTGTGAGACCAAACGGGTGTGACTATGCTTACTGTGCAGGTACGGTTTTTCAACTTTAATGTAAAAAATGCAAACAAAACTGACTTGTCTTTACTTGTTCATGGTTTTCAACAGAAGTTACAAATAGTTCCAGCACAACTGTACCTGAAACTACTGCAAAAACAACCACCTTCGACCAAGTCAATGCTACTGCATATCCAACAACTACTAATCATTATCAAAATACTACTGCTAATTATACATCTACCCGTTATCCAACTCATACGAATACAACTTACCGTCCTTCCACCACAAATTTTACCACACCAACATCTAACAGTACTGGGGGTGAGGGGCAGGTGCGTTTGGCCAATGGGGGAAACAGCTCTTGCTCTGGACGGGTGGAGATATTCCAGCGGGGGCAGTGGGGCACCGTGTGTGATGATCACTGGGACCTGATGGATGCCCAGGTGGTCTGTAGGCAGCTGGGGTGTGGCAGGGTGCTCTCTGCTCCTATGCAGGCTCACTTTGGACAAGGCACTGGTCCCATTTGGATGGAAGATGTGGCGTGTACAGGATCAGAGCATAAACTCTCTCAGTGTCGTCACAGAGGTGTGGGTGTTCATAACTGTGGTCACAATGAAGACGCTGGTGTGGTCTGTGAAGGTAAAGTCGTTTCTTTTCACTGTGGACTCTGTGTTCATGAGTATTTGTGTCTCTTTAACAAAGGTTGATTGTCTCCTCAGCCCTGTCTCCGGTGCGGCTGGTGAACTCTGCAGACCGCTGCTCGGGCAGAGTGGAGGTGTTCCACAACAGGCAGTGGGGCACAGTGTGTGACGATTCCTGGGACCTGAATGATGCCAATGTAGTGTGCAGGCAGCTGGGCTGTGGCAGGGCAGGATCTGCACCTCAAAATGCAGCATTTGGTCAGGGCAGTGGACCCATCTGGATGGACCATGTCCAGTGTTTTGGATCCGAGCCATCGATCACACACTGTCATCACAACGGATTTGGAAATCATAACTGTGGGCATCATGAAGATGCTGGTGTTGTCTGTGAAAGTAAGTCTGCAACATGTTTTAGTTTGTGCATTTTATTCCAATTCAGAAACCAACTCTTTGTTTTGTAGTGCCTGAACCAGAAATACAAATCAACCAGTTTATCTGTGGACAAGAACAAATACAAGTCAGTCTGAACAGAGTAACAGTGTCTGTGGCTGGTCTGGACCAGTGGCGGAGCCAGACTTTTAAACAAAGGGTAGCCAAGGGGTGGCAAGGGTTTTTTTAAGGGGTCCACATTTATACTATTCCGAAATTTTATTTCACACAAAAACTGGCTAAACGATACATTTTAATCTTAATCTTGTCATTATTTTTAATATAAAGTGAACTGAGAGCACACTTGGAAACTACAAAGCAAAAAAGTGTATTTAAATAGTAGTCTGAACAAAAAAGTGCAAAATAACATAAAGAAAAATGTAATGCAATGTTTGAATTAACAAATTTAGCAAATTCCTGCGGTTCTGGTGTAAAGCAGCAAAGATGTTGACAAACTCATCCATATTTAGCCCTCCTTGACTCTACACTGAGGATACCAAGATGACTCAATCATCTGCCGTGGTCGTTCTGAGATAGTTTTTAGGGCAGAGAAACTTATTTCACAAGACGCAGTACTGACAGGCATTAAAAAGATCTTTGCAAGCCTCAAAAGCTCATGAAACACTTTCCAAACGTTCCAAAAGGACAAGGAAGTCCAATAGGGTCTCTCTAATCCATTTTTTCCTCCCAAGAAGCCGCCTACTGTAGTTTGACGTACCTCATACCTCGTCCTCTATATCTGACTCAAAGGTTCTGCCAAATGAAAACAGGGGCTCTTCTTTCAAAAATATTTTGGGGTTAAGCGACTGCACATCATTTTAGCTATTTTTTTTCTTTTTTTGTGTGTGAAAAAACGCCTTCTGCCTATACATAGTTCCCACAGACCAATGAATGTCACATGACCTCCTCGGAGACGCCATTTTTGATGGCACGCTGCTGTGTTTGTGCATTCCATTAAACAGAAGAATGAGAATAAATGTAGATATTCAAACGCAAATTGGAAAAAAAAGGGCAACTTTTGAGCAAATAATTGTATATTAATACAATGGCACCACAGTTTAACGTGCTACGGACATGTTTTACATATTTGATCAAATTATGCAGCAAAAATTAACAAGCAATGCAAACATTTCTCAAAAACTTTAGATTTAATACCAGTTGGAGCTCCATTTAATTATTTTAATTATATTAACAATTAATTTAATTAATGCTAATGCCACACGGACACTCTGGATTGCTGTTATTGTTTATTTCCGCGTTTTTGACCGTATGTTTTGGTGAATGGTGGGCAACTGATTTTTCCAGGCGTAAAGAGCAGTTTATTTTATGACACAGATCTTTTTACAGAAGCAATGCTGTTTGTGAACATTGTTTTAGCCCACCATAGAACTATTATTATCTATTTAATACATTTACGTTGCCCTCGAGAGCCTCGGACGCGACACCGATCCTCCTCATAATAAAGTAATCTAACGCTAAATAATGAAACTCTCAAGTTACCAGATATCAGCATACACAAGTTAGTACTGAGTAAATTACGTCTGTCAACACATTATGAGATATGATACGCACCTGACACAAAGTGCTCCGAGCATATTCTTGCGTGTTTTGAGGGAGTTTCTTGCCTGTTTATCTTCGCAAGCCATAACCTCCGTGGTTGTTCTGACAAAAGCTTAGTCTTCTCACATTCATGAAGTCTAATGATGGGTATACTGTAAAATCCAAGTTTAACGGAACCTCCGGCACGATTTGAACATCCATTGACCCAGCAGGAGACATGGACGTCGGAACTATTTTCTGAGAGGGGGGGCGGGTTTTTGTTGGGAGAGTCGAGGGAGAGACTCATACTTGGATTACACTGGATAATAACATACCATCTTAATTGTTAAGAAAAAAAAAAAATAAACAATATATATCAAGCAAGTCACTTATCAAACTGAACTTTATTTTTTTTCAATACGCATTCATGCGTCAGTCTCTCCGGTGGCTTCATTGTGTTGTGTAGCCCAGTGACGTGCGGTCAGATGAGGCAGGTAAGGCCCTCACCTAAGATCATAGAAAGAAAAGTAATATAATGGATACAATAATGTTTGGTCACTTTATCAAGTGATTTGTGCTGTGCCTTATTTAATTTATTTATACCTTGAAATCGCAGATTTGACAGAGCGGCGCTGTGAGGCAAGCCTCTCTTGGGAGACGTAAAAAGCAACAGCTCACAGGGAGAGTCCTGTGAGGTGCTATCAAACTGTTTTCTCTGTTTATCACAGTTTAAAAAGTTCAAAAATATTTAATTTACAATCAACATGTTTACATTTAAGAGGATGGCTCATAAATTGTGTTTTTGAAGCAACTATGGGTCTTAATCGCGCTCAACCACAGCTTGTAAGTGAGGAAAGCCTCAAGGGGGCGCTTGTGAGCCCAAACTTTGGCTACATCCAATTCCATCAGAAAGCTCCTTTCTTGTTCTTCTTCTGCTAAGGGCAGCTTCAGGTTTGGCTAACATACCTATAATACATTTTAAGATAATTTAAAATGCACTTAGAGTAATTTTTTGCTTCCAATGATGATATGAATCATAAGAAAAGGAGGTGAAGGGTAAGGATTTAGAAATTGGATTTACCCGGGAGTCGGCTGCAGCAAAACTCGCAGTTTACGGAGGAGACACCCGTTTTTTTTACTTTTTAAAACTCATTAACTTATTTCCAAATGGAGGATTACATGTCTGTGCTCAAACTATTATCTGGACTTAAACATGAAACTGGTCCTAACTGAAGTGGTCTGTGCTGTTCATTAATACCTAAGGTAAGGCCCATAACACACTTTGTACTTTTTACAAACGTTTGCGTTTTGTATGAGAAAACTATGCAGACATTAAATCATATTCTGCTGTAGCCAAACAAATTGTGTATAAGCCGCTCCTGTTCCTGTAGGTCCTGTTGGTTTATATGATGTATAATCATATGAACACATGATTGATCCCCCACCGCACGTCACTGGTGTAGCCAGGTCTCTAATCTGCGCAAGGCTGAGAAAGAGCGCTCAGAGGCTGCGACAGATATTAGCCAGACAGAGCTTCATAAGCTTCTCCGACAGCATGGAGCGGGTTTTGGGCTGCAAGGAACGCAGGATAGTGATAACTTCTCGCTCCCGGCACACGCGGAGGGGGTGCGGCCGCACCCCCCGCACCCCTAGTTCCGACGTCTATGGCAGGAGATGACCATTTTCAACTTTATCACGACATTAACACGTTTCAGCTTCTTTTTCTATTGTTTTGCCCACAGAATGCCAACACAAATGTCGCCGGGTCGGCAAATCCCCGTATGTAGTGACGTCATGTGGGAACTATGTATAGACCAGTGTTTTTCAACCACTGTGCCGCGGCACACTAGTGTGCCGTATGATATTGTCTGGTGTGCCGTGAGAAATTCGTCTACTTTGTCTAAAAATAACTGCATTCGCTGTTGGCGAGCGCTGACTTATTTTGAACTGAGTAACCATGTAATACTTTTTCATATCAGTAGATGGCAGCAGATAGCTAAGTACTTTGAAACTGAAAAATTGGATGCGACCACTAGATGTAACTGATAGCGGGAGCATTGTGGCGAGAAATGTAAAATTGGATGCGACCAACAAATGTGTGAGGTAGCGAGACAAGAGCTTTGTGGCGAGTGAGAAGTGAAAGTGATGGAGACGTTTTTGAAAAGGAATTATGCTGTTTCTGAACAAGATTCACATCCTCCGCTCTGCCCCGGGGCAGCTGTGGCCGCGTTGTAGTGGTTTAACTATGAAATGTAAAAAAATGTCTACAACAGCTCACGCAAATGCACATCCGAACTGGGTACCGAGCACAGACCATAGTCGCGTGGACAGAACCATAGACATGCGGACCGGACAGAACCATGGACTCGCGTTCAGGACCTCCCGTGTCCCTCCCGTGTTTCCTCTCGAAGTGCATCCAAAAATCCTGAATTTAAAGCTCGGATACCTAAATTTTCCCCATGCACTAACAATGCATGTTATTTGTGTACCCCCTGAATTGTTATTTGACTCCTGGGCTGAGAGTGGATTTTCTTTGTTTTTTTTTCCCACACAGTTAGTGGCATTTTATTCCCAAAGTCATTGTATTGAGAAATATAAAATAAAGCTTAATGTTAAGGCCTGGACTTAAGCACTTTGATGAGAATAACTGTATATTGTGAATATAGGCTACATATTATAAGATAAGATAAGATATACATTTTCTCCTGGAGGTGTGCCGCGAGATTTTTTCAATGAAAAAAGTGTGCCTTGGCTAAAAAAAGGTTGAAAAACACTGGTATAGACATTCTGCACTTGTCTGCGACACCCTCTCATTCTCTGAAACTCAATTATATAAGCTATATTTTAATACAACAAAACAAATTCCTCAGCATCTCAAAACATACTGCCTCCGAGTCTGACCTTCAGGTGAGGTTTCATCATCCTGATCTACAGGCCTTTTCCAAACAAAAAAAGGCCTGTACGCAATGTTTCCTCCTTTTCTTTTCATGTTTACACTAAAGGGAAGAGGGCGATGATACGATGGGCAATTAATAATGGAAAATACACACGCATGCACCCCGCACGCACACACAAGCACACAGGCACGCACACACTGTGTGCGTGCCTGTGTGTGCCACGCTGACACGCTGACACACGCACACAGGCGCGCATACAGGCACGCACACAGGCACGCACACGCACACACACATACACACACTAAAAGTTCTACAAACTGAACAAGTAATGCGCTGCAGTACGTGTGTCTATACTTTGTGTCAAATGTAAACGGTTGGCTCTGCATCGCTAACTTACCTCTTTGTTTTCATCACGACTTGGGCACATGTGAGTCCAACAACCCAAAGCATTAGCATACAGCACCGGCTCCACACGGAGTCAGGGTGCGTTCACAGACGGGGGAAACCGTGGGAATTTTTAGCTTTTGGCGGAAAAAGTGCGGAAGATTCTCAAGATTAACATTATTACATTGCCGTCTTCCGAGGGGGGCACTGGGGGTGGCAAGGATATTTTTAGAGGTGGCAGTGGCCACCCTGGCTACCCCTCTGGCTCCGCCACTGGTCTGGACCCCCTCTCTGGTCACCTGGTGGACCGCAACTGTGTCCGTACCAGAGTTCAGAACGACATAGTGTGGTATGAGGTCGTGCCACGAGTAGGAGTCTGTGGAAACACCAGGAGGGTAAAGACTTTTGACTATGGGTTAAACTCTATTCTCAGAGATGATTGATTGTTTTATTTTTAGACCAACAGCACACACGTCATCTACACCAACAGCTTATTCCTCTATGCTCACAATGATTCCTTCCATGTCCCCGCAAGTCTCCCCTTCTCCTGTGTGTATCCTCTGGAGGTAGACACCAGACTCGATGCTGCTCTCAGACCTTTACTGTAAGTTTAACACATTTTTGAGACCATGATCCATAAATGTAACTATGTATATTCCCTTTTTAGACCATCTAGGGGTATTGTCGGATCAGGTCGGGCCCTAAGAGGATTTATGTCTCTTTACCGGGACTCAAATTTTTCCAACACATATCCATCCGGTAGTGTCAGTCTGCCTGTGGGCCAGCCGCTGTACGTTGGAGCCATTGTGGAGGAGAACGATCTCAATTTAGCGACGGTTCTGGAAAACTGCTACGGCACATTCTCCTCCGACCCAAATGACCCAACAAGACATCCTCTCATCCAAAACAAGTACGTCTGGTTCCGTGAAGATGTAAAATAGACAATTATTATATTGAGCTAGTCTGACTGTAAAAGAAAATTAAACGCTTACAGTCCATCCATCTAATTCTTTATTCTATAATATATCAGAATCAGAATATTATTTATTGCCACGTAAGTAACAGGAAGTCACAGACTTGGAAATTGCTTTGGCTCAGTGCAACAGTCAGAAAGAGATAATAAAAATATAGAATAAAAAACACTTCTAAGGAATAAATTTAAATTTAAAATAGAGTTACAGTTACTATTTACAAAATAAGTGCACATGGTGCACACAATGTAAGGTGACAGCAGTACAGTGAAGTAAAGTGACGTATGATGGGCAGTAAAGTGACTTTATAAAGGGCGGGGGGACAGGTTAAGAAGTGTTCGAGAGTCCAACAGCAGAGGGGAAGAAACTGTTCTTGTGGCGGGAGGTTCTAGTCCTGATGGACCGCAGCCTCCTGCCTGAGGGGAGTGGTTGGAATAGTCCATGTGCGGGGTGAGAGGGGTCGGCTGTGATACGACCAGCCCGGCCTCGAGCTCGGGCGACGTACAGGTCCTGCAGCGATGGAAGGCTGCGGCCGATCACTTCCTCTGCAGAGCGCACAATGCGCTGTAGTCTCTATTTGTCCCTGACTGTGGCTCCAGCGAACCACACGGTGATGGAGGAGGTGAGGATGGACTCGATGATGGCCGTGTAGAACTGCACCAACATCTGTGCAGGCAGCTTGGCTTTCCTGAGCTACCGCAGGAAGTACATCCTCTGCTGGGCCTTCTTGATGAGGGAGCTGAGGGTCGGCTCCCACTTGAGGTCCTGGGTGATGGTGGTGCCCAGAAAACGGAAGGACTCCACAGAGGTGATGGGGGAGTCCATCACGGAGGGTGGGGGCGGGGGGACAGTGCTCTTCCTGAAGTCCACAATCATCTCCACTGTCTTCTGGGCGTTCAGCTCCAGGTTGTTACCACTGCAACAGGACACCAGCCGGTCCACCTCCCTCCTGTAGGCGGACTCATCGTTGTTGGAGATGAGTCCAATGAAGGTGGTGTTATCCGCGAACTTGAGCAGCTTCACGGAGTCGTGGCTGGAGGTGCAGTGGTTTGTGTACAAGGAGAAGAGCAGGGGAGAAAGAACACAGCCCTGTGGGGCTCTTGTATTTATAACCCGAGAGTCCGAGACACACTCGCTGCTTCCTGTCCGTCAGGAAGTCAGTGATCCACCTGCAGGTGGAATCGGGCACGTTGAGCTGGGAGAGCTTGTCCTGGAGCAGGGATGGCAGGATTGTGTTGAAGGCAGAGCTGAAGTCCACGAACAGGACCCTGGCGTAGGTCCCCGGGGAGTCCAGATGCTGTAGGATGTGGTGGAGGGCCAGGTTCATGGCGTTGTGTACAGATCTGTTGGCTCTGTAGGCGACCTGCAGGGGGTCCAGGAGGGGGGAGGTGAGGGACTTGAGATGGGAGAGGACCAGGCGTTCAAATGACTTCATGACGACAGACGTAAATAAATATCTACCACATACCACACTGACTAAAAAAAACGAGCCAAGAACCGATATCCAGTTCATGCCATCTCCATATACTGTACAAGTGAAACGGTTTTGATGATTTTTTTTTTCTGTTGTGAACTTAGTGTTGCAGACACAGCTCAAGAAACAGGCAAAAAGATGTCAGATTACTAGAAGTACAGTAACAATAAAGCATATCTGTAATATTATTTTTCTCTTTTTATATGAAATGATCTGTGATTTTCTTCTGCAGGTGTTCCTCTAACCCTCAGCAAGTGTTGGTGGTAGAAAGTGGCACTTCTCTTCGTGCTCGCTTCTCTGCCCTGTTCTTTGTACCTGGGGGTCAGTACAGAAGCATCTACCTACACTGCCACCTGAAGCTGTGCAGCCCTGGCCCCTGTGTCCCGGTGAGTGCCTCCATCAATGCAGCATTATGCGTACACGCGTTTGTGGATTGAAAAATATACATATATGACATTTTTATCAGGCATGTCCAAGCAGATAAAAGATAGTTTTCATTGTGAATAGTATTCACAATGAAACTATACAAAGATTCCTGTAAAAGTAAAACAACATGCACTTCTCACTTTACTTTTACAGGAATCTTGTCCTCTCTTTGACATTGTATTTCTCCTCATATGTTTGTCATTGACTTCTAAACCTTTGTGTAAAATTTGTGTGTCTTTCTTTGAACAGGTTTGCCCGGGTAGGGCTCGGCGCTCAGTTTCTGAAGGCGTTACAATCCAGCCCGTCACCATTGGACCAATCACATGTGAGTGACAGACACATACTGTGCATGCTGCATTACCGATGTATGGGACTTAAACCATTGTTCTTGTCGTTACAGGGGGAGATAACTGAATACATTCCTCTGTTTTTGTGAATTTGTCCATTATGTTACTGCTATGGCTCCACAACCTGCCATTAGATGATTTATGCATCATTCTTCAGAAATTGTACTTTTCTCTTTTTCTTGTTTTAAATTAAAAAAAAAAAAGACTAATTGATGGTTAAGGCATGTGCAACTGTATGACTTGTTCCTGCTCCTAAATAAACGCTTGTGATAACATGATGCCTTTCTTGGACTTTTTTTTCTTTCATTGTTTTAAAGCTAATAATACTGTGGACTGCTGTATAGACTCTTGTTTAGAGTTTTTTTTTTTTTTTCAGCATATTGTATTGTACATTATTTGAAATGAGTTACATTAAACATTGAATTTAATTCACGCCAGTATACATCTTACAGCAAAGGATTTAATAACATTCTTCTCACCACTAGTAAAATTGTTGGTATGATATCAAAGGCACTAAACCACATAGTCTTCATATTCAGGATACATGTCATCAAAATGACCAGCCTTCAGGAAACCCTATATAAAAAGCATTTCATTTGCATTTTCAACTATTATAACTGAAAAACAAACTTGTCTTTGATAGTAACTACATTATATGTGTAACTGTATATTGAAAAATGCCAGAATTGTGTAAAAATGTAGCTTTTTTATGCATTTTTATGCAAAGATTTATTAAAGCTAAAATGTGAGTAATTATGTGGAGAAGCAACCACAAGTGTGGAATATGAGAGACAGGGAACCATGTGTTAATCACCTTTTTTTATTGAATTTGCAAATATCAATGGAAATGTACAAAAACAACCATGCATACACAACTACACCAGTGTTTTCTCCTGGTGTGTACCTGGTGTCCTTGATCCAGATCCTACTCATCAAATATGCCGTTCATTCAAGTAGCTATTGCAGCAGCTCATACCATAGAGGCCTGAAAAAGAATCAGAAGTATAGCATGTTGGCTAGCTCTCGGCCTCCCTGTCATGCACAGTACAGTGCCTTGCGAAAGTATTCGGCCCCCTTGAACCCATCCATCCATTTCTGGGTCAGGGGGGTGGCAGTCAGAGATGCCACCCAAGTCTCCCCTCACTGACCCTCTGCAGCTGGTGAGTCCACAAGAGGACGGCTGCTCTCTGAGTGAGAGCATAGCCTTGATCTTTCAGTGGGGGCTTTGGGCAAAGTGGGGTTAAGTGTCTTGCCCAAGGACACAACGACAGCAGTCATCAGTGGGAGTCGGTGGAGAAGGTGAGGAGGTGGGAATTGAACCCACGACCTTCAGGCCTGAAGGCCAATGCTCTACCAACTGAGCTACTGTCGCTAAAGGCCCCCTTGAACCTTTCAACATAAAGATATAAAATTTTAATTTTTTGTCATGAATCAACAACAACAAGTGGGACACAATCGTGAAGTGGAACAAAATGTATTGGATAATTTAAACCTTTTTAACAAATAAAAAACTGAAAAGTGCAGCGTGCAATATTATTCGGCCCCTTTACTTTCAGTGCAGCAAACTCACTCCAGAAGTTCAGTGAGGATCTTTGAATGATCCAATGTTGTCCTAAATGACTGATGATGATACATAGAATGCACCCGTGTGTAATCAAGTCTCCGTATAAATGCACCTGCTCTTTGATAGTCTCAGGGTTCTGTTTAAAGCGCAGAGAGAACCATGAAGACAAAGGAACACACCAGGCAGGTCCGAGATTCTGTTGGAGAAGTTTAAAGCCGGATTTGGATACAAAAAGATTTCCCAAGCTTTAAACATCTCAAGGAGCACTGTGCAAGCAATTATATTGAAATGGAAGGAGTATCAGACCACTGCAAATCTACCAAAACCCGGCCGTCCCTCCAAACTTTCATCTCAAACAAGGAGAAGACTGACCAGAGATGCAGCCAAGAGTTCCATGATCACTCTGGATGAACTGCAGATAACTGCAGGAGAATCCTTTCGGGGAAAGGAGGGATAAGCAGCAGAATACTTCAAGCAGATTGGGCGAAGTGACGCTGTGTGCCCGCCTACCAAAACCCGTAGGTAAAAATGACGCTGTTCATCTTTCAAAAAAGAAATTGGAGATTCTGCTAAAACTGACTTGATAGCCTCAGCTACGCGTCCGTCCTCCTGCGTAGCCATGTTTGTTTTGCTTCGGCCCGGCACTTCTTGCTTTAGTCAAACCCGGATATCCCGCCCTAAACCCCCAGACTGGCGCGTGATTGGCTTGAACACCTAGATGTTCTACTCGAAAAGGGTTGGCTGGAGCGGGACAAGATGTATTCTCGAGTGTTTGTGAACTCACAAATACCGTGAGAATTCAGCTTGCAGGCAAGGTTAGATGAATACACCACAGTCCATTATAGTGTAACTCGCTGGGGTCCTGGGTCCACAGCCCTGCAACTTTTAAAGATTTATTTTGAAAGTCAGAAGTTTGTTTTGATTAATTTGACATTTGGTCAAAAGCCAACACGGCTCACAGTTTGTGTCCATCATTAATGCAACTTGACCTGACTTTGACAGCAGTTCAGTACAGCACATATGGAAATATAAATAATGGTTAAAAAATTACCTTTTATAATGTTCGGGTCCATTTTGGTAAAAGTAATAATATTTAGGGTTATTTTCCACTTTAAAACACAGTGGCAAGTTATTTTGATCCGAAGACAACACAATGGTTTGAAGACACTTGACATATTTAACTTTTCAGCAAAACAAGTGTGTCAATGATTTACCTGAATCACAAAAAGATTGAAACGTGATTCATCTCATTTGCGCTTGCATGCTTTTAAGTACCGTCATATTTGGTCAAGAGATGTTTTACTGATTTATATAATCAGCAGATTGATTGTCAAAGGAGGTTGGGGACTTGCTAAAGAGACACTTTGTAAATTGTGGGACGTCAAGAGTGCTCCAGCTTTGCTCTGTAAACTTGAGAAGTGTAAGATTAATCACATTTATGAAATATGCTTTTGTGTTTCCCAACAACCAGCACTGACAACAATAATGCTGCCTTATAAAGAGCCAGACCTTTCAGCATGAGTGACTGAGATTTGACGAGCCTTAGAGTAAGTATCAGCTGCATTTGTGCCAAACTGTAAGACTCTGTTACTATGTGAACAATATTTATTAAATTAACAATATTTTTTAATCTTGTTTTTCAGGACCGTAATCTTTGAAGATCTCTACAAAGATGGGGAAGTTTGAAGTGTTGTATCTGTATTTCATTTTGCAGATAGGAGGAGGATTTACCTCAGGTGAACGTCTCCAATATTTCCATCAGATGTTTCTAAAGACATTTATTATTTCATGCAAAATGTTCACTCGATGGATAATTGTTTCAATCAAGAATTCATTTTTTTATCTACTATTGACCATGCCGAATCCAGTAAAACAATGTGTATATTCTCTTTACACTGTGTTTGTGGGAAAAAGCAGTGCTTAAGGGAAAGTGAACATGTTCTACTAAAAGTATTGATTGAGAATGCAGAATTTTAGTCATATCTATCAAATTATATCCAGAGTGGTATTTTATTACAATAATTATGATAATAATAACATTACTATCATTATTATTATTATAAAGTTGAGGTTTTGTCATAGTTGTAGTCTTTTTTAGTTTTGTTTTTCGGCTTATTAAGTCAAAAAAGTGAGATATAATAAGATTACCCATAACCCAATATGCATTATACACAACATTCTGTAGTAACTTGAAAACTGTGTTTTTGATTTAAAAAAACAACAACTTTAAATCACCATCGGACATTGTTGAGCTGTGAAGATCATTTCTGAATTAGAAGTTATAGACTCCATTTTGCCTTATATCGCGTTTTTCTGTCGCTTCAACAGAGTTGATTTCCCGCAGGTGTCCCTGTGACCAGCTGTGAGGCGTGTCATCCTGAAGCCACCTGCCTGAGGCGTGAGGAGAGAAGAGAAACGTTACCCACCACCACCGTCTCCTGCCAGTGCAAAGATGGATTTGTTGGCGACGGCGTCAACTGTTACGAAGTGAAAGAATGTGGGGGTGACTCCTCTTGCTGTAGCGCAGGTTACAAATGGTCCCCTAAAGAGGGCTGTGTGGATGTAGACGAGTGCTCTCTCAAGCCGTCCCCCTGTGCTGCATCTCAGATCTGCAGAAACACACAGGGCTCCTTTGAATGTTCTGTAAATCCTGCTCTGCGCACAGGAGCAAGTCCCTTTGTGAACGCTGTGCAGTTTATATGTGGTAACACTACATGTCCACACGGCATGGACTGCATTACCAACAATGGGACGGACCGCTGTACTGACCCCTGCGAGCATTACACTGCTCTGGATGACCCCTGGCGTGCAACAGATAACAGTTTGACAGGACTAGCCAAATGTGACCAGTATATACATTGGCAGGGCTGGTATCGATTGTTTTTGTATGGTTCTGACGCGCAAATAGCAGAACATTGTGTGCCGCAGTTTATGTGTGGTACCCATGCAGCTATGTACATCACAGAACCCCATCCCACACAGTCCAGGTACATCGAGAGACGAGAAGTTTGTGCCTCGTTCGAATCCTTGTGCTGCTACTTTAGAAGTCCCAACATTCATGTCAAGCGTTGCTACGGAGATTACTATGTCTACAAACTTGTGAGACCAAAAACTTGTGACTTGGCTTACTGTGCAGGTACTGTTTCACATCACAACAATAACTCCTAATGTAGCACATGCTAATAACATGCTAACAACATGCTAACCATGTATTTACCTGTTTATGATTTTCAAGTTTCGTCTCGATCCATTACAACTCCACCAGCCTTCACCACGGAGAAAACTACTACTGCCCAAAGAACCACCTCCCAACAAATTACTACTACTGATGCTTATCCTACTACTACTGATGCTTATCCTACTACTACTGATGCTTATCCTACTACTACTGATGATTATCCTACTACTACTGATGCTTATCCTACTACTGATGATTATCCTACTACTGATGCTTATCCTACTACTACTGATGCTTATACTACTACTACTAATGATGCTTATAC